AGATACCCAGGGTAGCTACAATTCAGTTGCCAGGTATAGTACTTCAAGTTCCCTTTCCATCAACCGCTCGATAACCTTTACACATGCACAGCAATCCACAGCTTTGAAGTCTCATTCGTGCTTTGACCTTATATAGGTGTGTAAGAGGTATAGCAACATAGCATTTATACGGACCCAGGGTAGGGAAATTGAAGTGGGATACCTGGCAACAGAATTGTAGCTACCCTGGGTCCGTATAAATGCTACGTTGCTATACCTCTTACACACCTATGTAAATTCAATGCAAGAATGAGACTTCAAAGCTGCGGATTGCTGTGCGTGTGTAAAGGTTATCGAGCGGTTGATGGAAAGGGAACTTGAAGTACTATACCTGGTAACTGCACTATAGCTACCCTGGGTATCTATACCTGGCAAGGTGCCAACTACACCTTACCATTCAGATGATGCAAATGATGCAAATTACATTTCTTGCATCACCACCCCTCAAAAATCACCTCCAAAACAACCTCAAAAAACCTTCCATCCGTCCACCCTCCTCCCCCAGCATGTGCCGAGTTTACGTGTGCCTTTTGCGGGCCACCCCCCCCCAGACCCCCTAACTACTCACTTCGTTCGCCAAGCACAACTCAGCTGGCGCCTTCTACGAAGGCTGGCTTTCTAAATTAATCCAATCCATGAGCTTCTCCTTGATTTTCTAACACTTGTTTGAATCAAATGAACAAACCTTTTGCTTCAAATATTCCATTTGTTTGATTCAAAATATTGGAAGATCCAGCAAAATATCATGGATCAAATGTTTTGTTTTGGATGAACAATTTATAAGCCAAATACTCTAGAATATTGTTTATTTTAATTGTTGTTTTGACGTCTCAAGACATATTAAACACCAAGTACGATTCTTATCCTTTTGTGCTGTGTTTTGTTTTGACTTTTCCAAGTTATCCAACCAAGCTATATTATATTACTTTCACTACAATGTGTGTTATTTTAAATGTTTTGTGATTTTTTCCAAACTATAAGAAACATGTGCCTATACTTTTGAACAATCTTGAAATTCGTGATTTGACATCTCAAAATTAAACAAAACACCTTGCGTACTCGTTTACATACTTTTCTTATTACGTGTCTTGTTTTTCTCCAAATGGTAAGAAACATCTAGAAATTGCTTTCTGTTTTTCTGATAGTTCTTTTGAAGGATCGCGTGTATAGTTCCAACAACATGCTTGATTTTTATGCTATTTCCGACCACTGCCAACCCCTGGTTGCCAGCTAGGTCAGCTAAAAGCAGTGTCACCTTGCCTGTCCCCACTGATGTGCTACACTGTGAGCAATTTTGGAGCCGATGTCTTAGTTTAATGAACGAGGGCTGCTTCAGGCAGCTCTTATGCCCCGGATCTCTGACTGCGGTTTTGTTTTTCGTCAGTAGTGAGTCAGCACGGCCAGCAGGGTTGTTTCCATGGATGACTGTAAACTTCAATTCTAGCATCATAAACCTTAAGTTGCAACATGTTGCAATCAAATCTGATTAAACCCAAAAGAACTTCTTGCGACACACCAGCAATCACGGCGCATCTTCGGTGGGACCACGCCTCAGCCATCTGCGCTTCTTCCAGCTGCAAATCCTGTGAGCTGAGATGGAGGGAGAGGTGGGGTGAGAAGCTGGAGGCATTTAGAAGACTTTCCCAATGCTCCCCCATCCATATGGAAGTGGAAAATCAACAAAACCAACCAAATTACACTACTGTCCAAGGCGCTGAAAAAGCAAAAAACAACTACTAAGCACTGTGGATCAGAAAGTGTTCCTATATGTTCCAAGGGGATCTGCCCCATCTCACTCTTCCCGGCGCTCTTGAAGCCCCTGAAGCTCTCCAGCTTCGGTGGAAGCTCCCGAAAAGGGTCGATACCTGCTCATGCTGCTTACTTGTTTACACAAAATAAATATAACTAAATATGTGTCTACCTTGTTGGCATGGAATTGGACGTGTAAAGGTCTTTGGAGTACCAGGTTGCTGGGTAGGACGTCCATGTTTTTGGGGGTGCCTTCCATGATAAAGGACAAATGTGTGGAACTTTGGCTGCGCCAAACTCATGGAATACAGTGCCTGAAACATCTCCAGTGCGCTAGGACCACGTAGCTGACGGAGGGTGCCATGTCTCTCTATGTGTCTCCTCCAACAACTTGCCGGCGTGCTGTTCTGCGTCATCCTCAGCAGGATCCGCATACCATAGCCGCACGTGCGCGCGAGCATGGAACGGCTCGATTGGTCAAGCTTCAATGGTACAAATGGGAATTTCACTGGCGATCACTGGTGCACAGATCTGTACCGACACAAGCTGCAGTTCCGACCAAATCGCCGGTCGAAACCTTCCCAAAGCGAAAAGGGCCCAGAAACAAAAAACCCTAAGGCCCTAGGCATTCGCTCAGGCTCCTGGAATCATCGAATTCATGCAGGACTTGGCAAAGACCAACCCAAACATCATCGACACACACGCATCTACTCGACCCAGGGTGGCAAGCCAACAAGCCAGCCCGGCCAGCGCAATCCAGAAGCTTACTGCGTGCCAGCCGCAGCAAAAGAGACCGAATCAGACTAAACAAAACCTGGAAGAATAACATGGCACCTGAAAATGTCTGTGTTGTGTAGAGGAACATCGTCTTCCAGTCTGGTTCTTAAACATCAGCTTCTTTCTGAGCTTCCAGTCTGTGGGCCCCTGGATCCCGGGGGTTTAGCAATCTTTACGAGTCTTAAAACACCTCGACCCAACCCAAGAACTCTATCCAAAAGCCAGTTTTTCAGAATCCCACCTGTTGAACAGAGACCCCTCCCGGTGGTCCAGTGGTGGTTCGGAAAGCGAACGTCACCAACCCGAATTTGGGTACTGATCTCGGAAACCCATTTGTCGGTCACCTGCCTTGTCAGATTTTGGTTGTCCTGCTGGCAGCCCTGCTTTGTTAGAGGTGACCCATGCTGGATTTCCTGTGCAGGGACTGGGGAAAATGAAATCCAGAAGGCGCATCTCAGGAAATAAACATCACCCTAGGCAAAACCAAGATTTCCATAGATTTCCTGGCCTGATAGTGTTCTGCAACCTGTGAAAACCACACAAGGACAGCCTCACCTTTTGCAACGCCACATCCAGAGCACGTGAGGAGACAAAGCCGCATGAAGTGTTTGGCGAAGTCCAACAAACTGCAAACCAAGTTGACATAATGACATAATGAGTGCTCAAGTGTTTGTTAACGATTTCTCTATCCTACAGCATGCAATTGATCTAAAATTATAGACTCTATAGACAAACCAAACCTGTAAAATGGAACCCGTCAAAATGGTCCTCTTCATGCTATTTCTGGCCCTCTTCCGCTGCAAAATGATGCCTTCTTCACAAAACACACCAATGCTTCTCGGCAAGCCATTGTTCTCTCTCTCTCTCTCTCCCGCTGGGAACTTCAAAAACACATATAGAAACATGAATAATTAAAAATAACGCTATTCAAGTTGTTCTTCACACCAGCTCCAAAAAGTTTCCTGGGAGAGATCAGAGATGTTCAATCTTCGCTCTCTTCTCACTCGCACTTTTGCTTTTTGTTAGAGGGAATTTGGTTTCCATGTTGTTTCAGGATCGTGTCGATTTGTCTTCAGGCTTCATCTCCTGTCTTTAGCCCCTAGTGGGTCGATTTCCAGGCCCTTTCGGTGCTCTCGTCAAGTTTCCAACGAGGCGTCGGCTGGTCAACGGCCACTGGCCAATGGCGAAAAAACTGGTCCGCCGATGTATAGGTGAAACGCGGCAACGGTGTTCTGCGGCAGGTGAGGTAAGCTTCAAGAAAGAGATCAAATAGCGGCAACTCCCATTAACCCCTTCAAGGGCCCCAACCAACTCTACGAAAAGATCTGCTTCTTGCCATGAGGTCTGCATCAGGTCCCAACGGTCCCAACGGTCCCAACAACGTGACCTAAGGCCTCGCATAGCATGACATGAGTGGATACATGATTCTATGTTACTGTATTAGTTTATCCATGTGTAATTATGTGGGTGGCTAGTGGCTAGCGGCTAGTGTTGGCTTACACCAAACATACGTCCATGCATGCACTGAGCCAAGATCGGTTTCCATGAAGGAGCTCCGTGTGAACATCTGACGGCGTGACTGGGAATCTCCGCGATGGTCTTGCGACTTTGAATCCGAACTAGCAAATGTTTCGCGCTGGTCGTGTTCCTATTATTCGAGGGATTAAGTTTGTTTCGGCATTGTTTTTGTGAAGGTTAGTCTTGTTTGTTTAATTTACTGATGAGTAGCGTGAGCAGGATCCCGAGGAGTGTTCCACGGCCTACCTGGCCATGGGGGTGTTGATGCATCCCTTCAAGATGTATTGGGGATGTCCATTCACCACCCTACCGGGTCCTGGATGGATCCTGGTCGTGTTGATCAGTTTTATCCATCTGGTTCTACGGGCCTATATGTGCAAGGAAATAGGGAGACCTCCCGAAGATCCCCAGGAAAGTAGACCAAAACCAATTGGTTGGGATTCCCTATTATACACACCCATTTGGATTCCACCCGTCTAAAACATGCTGAGCTACGGCTCCCACCACCTGTGCGACTAAAGGAGGCCATCATTCTTTCCGACCCTCTTCATTCAAACAAATCAGGAGAGACTTCAATGAAGCCATCCGGAGCACTACTACACCCCTGCTCCTAAACTAGACTCTTACAGCGCAGTCTAAACTGAAGTCACAAATGCTTAAAACGATCCGCTTAAAACGATCCAAAGAAACAGCAGGCCCTGCATGACGGAATCAAATATATATACCAGCAGTCACAAAGGGGTGCTTAATGGAGGTTTAGGGTGCCCATTATCCACTCACTTAGGGACTAAACACCACCCCTTTGTGACTCCTGGTATATGTATACTTATACTTATAATCAAAACATCCAGGTTCTAATTTTCAATTTTCCATGCTATGAGAAACTGGTCTGGATTATGGATATTGTATGTATTTAGCTTCCTCACAAACCCCATCTCCCTGAACCTTTCTGCCAACTCAGCAACCTAATGTCATGAGGACCCTCGTTGCAAACGAACAAGCCCAACATCAAGGCAGTTAAAAATCAAAGCACCACCACAACAACAACACCAAACACACCAACGGCAATGGTGACAATGGCAAACTACTTGGTGGCGCAACTCGCATCCAACCATTCTAAAGCCCTTCTCATCCTATCTCATCCTATCTCATCTCCTTTGAGCGCCTTCTTCCGCACCCCAAGCACCGCAGCGCACAGGGCGGGCGGAACCGGCCTCCGGTCAGGCCGCGGTCTCGGTCGTGCCGTCTGGCTCGGCTGGGTCACTGGGAAGCGCCGTGGTGGTCAACTTGAGAACGTCCCAGCGCCTCGCGGACGCGCCACGCGCCACGCGGACGCTGGGTAGGTGAAACACTGTGGTGTTGGGCCGCGGAACGTTGGAGGGGGCAAAGCTGGCAGGGAACGTGGGCCCGGTGTGGTGGCCGGGCTAGGGAAGTTGGAGAAGTTTTGGAGGATGGTATGTGTTTGGAGGACGGCATGGTGTGGAAATAATAAAGCTAATTATAGCTATAGCGCCTTCTTAGGAGGGAGGTTGTCCCGTTTAGATCAGTACCGACCTGATTCTGGTCACTTAAGAAGGCACCGGCATGCTCACTCTCACCGCGTCATATCACGAAGGAACTTCCGTTCGCATTCGCCCAATGGGATCCTTGGTCCGCCTTGGCAATGGCAGTGACATAAGATTTGACATAAACCATTTTGATCATCTTTGATCTATTCTTTGGGAAAGGATAGCGCTCACTCAATAAGGACCAAACCGTGCGGGCAGTCCCATGATCCTGATAGAGCAAGTGGAGGGCACATGATGGCACAACCTCCGTCAAAAGTGCATTTAGATAGTTTAATTTGCGCCTATCCTATTCTATTACCATTATTACCAGTAACAGTAACCGTGGATGATGATGACTAGTAAAGAAGGCCTAAAATAGTGATAATTGATGATCATCGTGTACTGACTGTCACAGGCAATAAGACAAACCCAAGGTTTAATACTGTTACGAGTGCCCAAGGGGGGTTGTTGTCGAGAAGAAATCATGCGACCATTTGCGATCTTCTCTGATCCCTAAGTGGATCAACCTTAGCCGCCATTTCAAGACTGTGGGCGACTGTGGCGAGCTAGCGGCAAACAAGAAAACCCAGGTGATGCGCAAGCGGATCCTTGCGTTGCATGCGGTCAATGAATGCCATAGCCAAAGAGTTGTGGGGAACCTTGCTGCTCAAAAACTCACCAGCACCAGTTCAAAGGTGGCCAGCCCATGAGGGAGGGATCCTGAGGGCAGTTAAAAGATTGAGCTACATGTTGAGCCATTACCACACAGCCAGGTCCAGCTAGATGTTGAGTCATCTGTTCATCTTGGTGGGGAAACCAAAATCCCAAAAAAGTGTCGCAGGTTGTCCACTGACTGGGTAGGTCATCCTACAAAAACAACAGTGTCTGGTGCTGTCTGAAGTGCTCGCGAGCTCTGCGTTGTCTCTCGCCATCCTCCTGCAAGTTCCACGTGGGGTTCCACCGGCCCGGCACTAAGAAATCTTAGCCACTTGAGTGGGAACAGCACCGAACTGTCACTTGGTCACCCATACTAAGAACAAGTTGTAGTCGCTGGAACCACTGCTAGTTGGCCCACTGGATCAGGTTTCATGCCTTCACAGACTAAACCCGCATGGATTCTCCTTGCATCCATGGAAGGTTTCCGCAAACAGTGTGTAATTATTATGGATTCAATTCACTTGCAAATTATGTGTCAGTGGGCTCAATGATCCCTTTAGTATAAAGGTTGAACATAACATATCCCCCTGAAAACCACTGCATGGTTGGTAGAGGAAAACAATCTTCCGGCCATTGTCATATATTATATTGACTACCACCCACACAAAATCGAACACGTCAACGGAACAGCTAGCTGTTCCATAAGGTTAAAACACTAGCAAGTTTCTTCTCCTTGGATCCCTTGCTTCAATGGGAAAAGTGGATCGAACGCACGAAAACGGCGAATCTCCCCCACGATCCCCCACGACAACGTCCCGCACCGCGACCGCTCCGTCATCCACTCGAACTCCCAGCCATGCCGCGCGCACAGCGCTCGCAAGCGGGCTTCATCCCAACCCTCACGCTCCACCTGAGGAGCCCGGCCGATGGGCCAACGGCCGAGCCACCGACGTTTTGGGATTGCCCCGCAGGTTCGGGAAGACAGAAGACAGCATCGCAAGGAGCCGGGATGTGAAGAATGTGAAGAAAAACCAGGATCCACCCAGAGATACACCCAGACATACCCACACATTCCAGGACCCACCTAAACCCGGAAGGTTTCAACAGACCCCAGTCTCTGGTATAGGTACTGACCTCCAGAGTCTGAGGCCGCAGGCTGGTCTGGAACCGGTCCGTCGAAAGGGTCCGTCGAAGTCCTCCGTGGTGCTCCCCCCAACGGTGCGGCCTAGAGCGATGTCTGCCCTTTCTGCTGGCTTTATAGATGAATAGGGCGCAATGTTTGCAGAGTGGGAAGTCCAGGTATGAGTTGCCTGCATAAATTGTAGAAGGGCATTCCGATTCCGGGTTTTGCACATTGTCACATGGATGACTTGGGTGTTGTTTTGGATGACTTGGGTGTTGTTTCTTCTTTTGTTCACGAGCCGGTCCTCGTCTCAGTCTGCAAAACGAAACTTGAAAACAAAGCAAGTCTGTACCCGTCATTGGATATCACAGTCCAGCTACTGTAAAGGGCGGTTGCTTTACAGCCAACCTTCCCCGTTACTGAATTGTGAATGGAGCATTGTTCTAGTCTGGGCAGCTTCTGTTCTTCAGTGTTGGGAATCTCGTTGAGGTACAGTCGATCCAGCTCTTTGCAAACATCTCTCCATGAGTCTTCCAGTCTTCCAGTCGCAAAACTCACAAAAGCCAAGTCGATGGATGCAACGCCCTTAAAGCCAAGTCGATGGATGCAACGCCCTTCCGAGTTTCATGTCCAATGGCAAGCGTGCGACAACAAACTGAAACCACATGTGCACGGCCGCGGGTGAAACAAAACCTGCGAGCTGCTCTTCACCCTGTCAAAATCATCATGGCTAATTTAAACAATATATAATAAGTAATCCTAACATATATATATATAAATATGCCTAGCCTAGAACCCATTTGACCCCTGTTCTCACCAAACAAACATGTGTGACAGTTTACTTTAGATCACTGTAGTCACTCAGCTTGCCCACATCCCATCCCAATGCACCTGGGGTTGTTCCTGATTCCCATTGGCTTTCTCAAGCTTCTCGGTCCAGGTCGCCAAAAAGCTTTCCACCTCGCTGGCGACCAGGGTCGCTGGCGACCGGAGAGAAGTCTTGACCGGAGGATTCCTACATATGGAGGGTCCGACCCCTGCCATGGAGAGCCCAAGGGTTCTTAGGGATAGTGGAAAAATTATCCGGAAGCAAAGCCAAGTACGTCTCAGGGATGCCTTGACCACGCATGGAGTAGGATCCGACGGAATTGGTTCACTGACGTTTTCCTTCTGGCTCATCATGGCTCCCAGTTCCAATCTCCTTCGTCCCCACAAGTGATTTTTTGGAATTGCATTCATGTCTCTCCCAGACCATCCATCAGACTGGCCTGTTTACCTATTATAAACGAAGGTCACTGAAAAGGGTTCGTCCCATGGATGGTCTGGGTCAGTACGACCTGGACCCACATGGAACATCATGGAACTTGAAAACCACGCCCAGTTTGTAGAGGAGTAGTGCCTTCCAGTCTGGTCCATGCCCCGGTTCCATCGATCCCTTCCGGTCCCGATGTAAGTTCTCAGATGTTGATGTTTTTCATGTGGATTTCCTTAAGGAGTGGTCCCAAATCCGCGCCTTCTCCTTCACCTCTGGCTCCACTGGTGCAGGCAAGATCAAAGCCTTGGTTCTCGCGCGGTGTGCTTGCAGTGGCACTCCACATACGTCAGTCACGCACTCCAAGCCTCCCAAAACACAATCCCCCCAACCTTATCCACCAAAACCCAAACCGAAGGCTGCTTCCATGGCTACTTCTAAGGCCGCTCACTTCGTCTGGGTTTGGGCCCGCACATCCACCGAACTGGATCCACACCGCACTCCATGCGAGGTCCAAGGGGCCAGGACACCCCATCGCTTCTCTGGTGAATCACCTTTGTCACCATCCTTGGCCGGACGAACGAGGGCAAAAGGCGCCGCTCAGCCTGCTCAGCCACGAGCCACGGCTCAGGTGCTGAAGCAAAACATCCAGCAAAGCTGGGGGAACAAGCCATATATTTACCTGCATTGGCATTGGAGTGGCTTTTGGGGATCAATGTTGGTATATGACTAATATGATTTTACATTCCAAATATGGAGTGCTTGGCTTGACTAATTCAATGCGCCGGCTGTTTGCGCATGTGAGGATAAGCATCTTTGTGTGCATCGTGTTGAAACATCTCTCTCTCACAATATGTATATATATATTACATAATATATAATATATATGCAAGGAAGCTTGAAATGTCTCCGGCAGCCTTAGAAACCATCTGGTTTAGGACACATTTGACCAGCTTCTTCGAAACATGTTTTTTTTTTTCAGCAGCTTTTTGTGCTTCTTCTGAAGCTGTGATGTCAGAAGGTCTCTTTGAAGAAACAGACATCTACCAGTCCCAAATGACGCTCGTGCCATGGGTGTTGACCTATTCAGTCATCCGCCCAGGATCGGTGGAGAATTCAAACTCTGCGTAGTCACCCGCCACCTGCCGACGGAGTCCGAACCCGGCGGCCCGTCGGACCGGCGCGTCCGACCGGCGCGGCCGACCGGCGGTGTTTCTTAGGCCAAGACCTCAACCCCCTCGATGCAAACAGAGGTGAGGAAGGACTATCCCGTATACTAAGCACCCAGATTGATGTGTGTAGTCGGTTGAGATTAGATGGTGCAACCCACTTGCCTGAGACATCTTGGGGGTTGCGCCATTGACTTCGCTTCGGACATTCGGAGCTCAGGCGCCACTGCCGCTGGTAGCGATCAACCGCCAAGAGCCCGCCTCGCAATGCTTCCAGCAACTCTTCTCCTTCTGGCCGAAGCACTCGTGAACCTCAAGAAGCTCAAAAGGCTCTCTCACCCGGTCACCCGGTCATTGGATTTGTGGCTCCCACCACGGAAACAAGAAAACTATATATATATAAATATATTTACTCAGTTACTTAAGAAACACGTCCCGCAGGAAGGGCATGCACCCTGTTTTTCCTGGAAATCCAACACTCGCCCGATCCGCACGAGAAAAAAACACATGGAGCTTCGTCTCCCCATGCCGACGCCCCAGCAGCCTGCGGCCCGGTCGGCAAAATCCACCACGAATCCATGGGACATACCCTGAAAAGCACCAACCCACAAGGAAAACGTGCCACGGTCATCTATTCGGGGGTCTATATCTTTGTACAGTAGGTATAGTGTAGGGTTGTCCAGCCAAGTCACCTATTGGAAGCACCTGGTCTCTCTCTCTCTCTCTCTTTCTCTCCTAGGATGTGTTCTTTTTCCAGATTGGGATTTTGGGCGCGCATTGTTCCAACAGTCATGAGCTTTTCTGCAGTTCTGACTTCTGAAGGACGACATCCTTCTTTTCCCTTTGTTTTTCCCTTCAAGTAACTAGCCAAGGAGAGGAACGCAAATAGATCTTACCTACGGTGATTCTCTGAGCCTCCTTCTTCCAAACATGACTGACTTTAACCAAGCATTAAAAAAGGAATATGTCCAACAATCAAACCAACATTGCCTGTATCACACACACACACATCACACACATGCACACACGTCTTATTTTAAGAACTAAACAGTCCCCTTTGCGATTGGCTTCCTAGACCCTAAGAAGCCATGAGCAGTGGACACCCCGGGCCCCTACCCTCCAATCAAAGGAACTCGGAACTCCTGGGAAGTTAGTTTTGCTGGGTCTACCTAGTCTACCTCTCAAACATCAGTACCCCTGTCATGAAAAAGGAACTCCTGTGCAACTTCCCCACTCCAAAAGAACATCTTCCGGTTGGACAAGGTGCTTGAGTCGATTGTGGCTTGGGATGTTGAAATGCCTCGGCCAGGAGGCTTTCACAAGATCCTCTGGAGAAGCAAAACGTTCACCCCAAAGAATCCTTGGAATCCAACATCTGAGGTCTGGGAATCTCCCATACCAAAAAAACATCATTTTGCATCATTTGAAGGGTCCGGAGTCAAGGGCAGGGAACCATGTACCTAGTCCACTTGGTCAGCCGAAGTGTCGAACCACGAGGCCTGATTCTTTGAAGCCTGCAGGGGTGCCGGGGTGGGTGGGTGCACAGCTTCATGGCGGTGCGAGATCTATGTCTATGCCTATGCCGATGGTCCAAGAGTTTTTGTGTGCACAAGGCCAAAACAAGAATTACTCTGTATAGTGGTTTCAGAATAGTTGGCACAATCCCCGAAGGCCCAAAAGCTTGGTTTATTTGGATCCCCCTCAAAAAAACATATTCGGGTTCGTGCCATCTACGTTGAAACCACTGTGCCATCTCCCCACTTTGCTGAGCATTGGCCGCTTTGCCAAGATCGGGGATCGGTATGGATTGGTCGGTTGCACTCCTTAGTGAAGTGGGTGGATTCACCAACCAAAATCCGAGCGGCAAACGGCAACCAACCCTGCTACACAAATCCACACCTATTTGGAATCATTTGGAACACTAATTTCTCCACAAAAACAAATACAAAGAAGGTGCTACACTCTCACTCACCTCCACATGGTTGGTGTTCACCCCCTCAATTGGTGGAGTTGCTTGGCATGTGACACCTGTCATGGGGTTCCAATCGTCCATCAAAGCCTTCATGCAGGGCAAAACAGAAGATCCAGAAGTCCCTAAGAAACCCAGTAGTAGCAATAGAACAGGTCAAGCCTTCACACATGGCCAAATTGGCCTTCCCTCGAGCCAAGCGATCGAATCGAAACGCGTTGCACGCTTCCCCCGTGATGTTTTGTCCTCCCTTCTTCTCCACAACTCTCCACACACTCCACTGGCTTTCTCCACGGAACCACACAAATGCCGGGCAAATCCAGCATCTTTTGTAAACTCTCCTGGGCTTCCTTGCGGCGACCGGACCGGGACCCTGTCATCGGGCCACTTGGGATCCAAGGAACCGTGTGACATCGCCGAGCAAACGAGATAACACAGTTGTAGCCCAGACACGACCCATGGGACTGGAATCTATACCATATATATATATATGCTTACATTGACCCCCCAAAGGGTATTGCCAAGAATGGTGCACATGGACCACATGGATCAGTTGTCGATTGACTTTGTATAAGATGTTTGTTGAGATGTTGTACATATGGTGGTGAAAAGAAGTGGGCAGCACCATCTCAATGCAATCGTGCACGCGTCCTTTGCCTGCAGGCCTATGATACATTTCTTATTTGTTGAAAGACCGTTGGCAATGACAATCAGCACTGTCTAGAGAATCCTGTGCGATCTTTGTGGAACCCCGTGACTGATTCCAACATCCCGGCAACTACGGCAGAACCAGTTCCTTAAATTGTGATAAGACATTTGATCAAACATGATCAAACTCATTCCAAAGCACCACCCACCCTTAGCTAGTTCTCCGAGGCCAAACTATACCACCCTTCTCATCCCTTTTCTCTCCTCGTGAGTCACTGGCTTCACTGGATGCACCTCGGCTCTTTCAGCCCCACCCCCGGCGTGAGGGCCCCCAGCTACACTGGACTTAAACAATCCATGGGACTGCCATGATCCAATCATTTGGGGTGCCATTCATGGAGGCAAATACCCCCCAGTCCCATTCATGGAGTGGGACTGGATCGGGCTACGCAAAAGATCCTCAAAAGCTAGGCTTGGCAGTGAGGAGGTGTGAGGAACAATCCTGGCCTTTGTAGGACCCAGGTCAGCCAGGGTTCCTTCACCTGCCTGTATGCACCCTATTGGCCCTATATGGCTCCACACATACCCTCCGAGAAGGTGAGCAGGGAGACTCTTTAAAACGCTTAGAAAAGGTGCCCAGGGTCAGGTCCAGTGCCCGGGGTCAGGTCGGAAGCCGTGGCGAACCTGAGGTTCGGTGGAGCCATGGACGACCTTCAACGAAGATGAGATCCGTACCCCAGACACGACCCGTCTGGGACTGCCATAGGACTGCCGCCCCATTGAGCCCCAAAACCACCCCAATGTAAGCATATATGGCAGTCCGATGGAGTGTCTGGGTACCACTTTCGGCAAATCATGACTACCAGGTGAGGAAAAATCATGACATACCTGGAAGTTCTGATAAAATCATGAGTCGAACAGAAAACACGACAAGAAAAACCGGTGGTTTCTGCCCAGTTCCGGTGCCCAGAAGTCGCCTCGGAGGAAAGGCTCCCGCCAAAGCGCGCATGTTGGCCGGACCGTCCCATCGCGAAGCGAACCCATCGCCCAGTCAAGCATCATTCGGTTCATCCTTGGGATCCTGGGGATCCTCTTCCTTCGTCTCTTCCTGTCACTCGGCTGAAGGACGAGTCGGGATCGAACCCGCCGGTGGCCCGGCAGGACTCTGAGGTGGGGTAGCCGAAAGGGTGGGGAACAAGACCTCTGAAAGTGCACCAATTGGTGGACTTCAGGACTTCGATTGCAGCCCAAAGCTACCACCCATAACCTCAAGCTGCAATGCCAAAAAAACAGGTCGGCTAGATATCTTCTTCATTCTTGTCTGGGCATCGATGGGTCCTGGACACTTCAAAGGAGGACCATGTGGGAATTGGGATCCAGTTCCCAATAAATTCAGACTAGACCCGCATAGTCTCCTCCTCCTCCTCCTCTCCAATGAAACTTTATAGGGCCACCCTGTGGCTTCAAGTGCATGTCCCAACAACGCCTGTTCCGGCCTCGTGTTCCTCTTCAGCGCCCTCCTCCTCACCCTCTCCGGCAACTGGAGCCTCCTCGCCTGGGTGTTTGTTTCCTCCCAGGATGCGTTACATTCCAAAATCAAACACAGAACCTCAGGGTGTCATACCTTGTCATCTCTGCAAGAAGGTTCAACAAGGAGTCTCCACAGTACCAACAAATTAGACAAAACAATTTCCCAAAAACAACAAAATCATGGTAAAACCATAAATACGAAAGTAGTGCTGATTCTGCTGGCACTGAAGCTAAAGGCTGCTTTCGTAGTATAGTATTATGGTGCAAAAAAACGTCAACAAACATTATACTTTGGAGTGCTGTAGTATGATAAAACCTATAGTACAATTGAAGTTCTATGACTCCGATAATGGTCATCGTTCCAGCGATTTGGGGCATGCTTGTGCGGAGTGTAAGGGTAACAGTACACAAAAATGTGAAGCATCTGATCCGGCAGAACATGGGATGATGACTGATGTTGGATCCTGATTAATCAAAGGGTCCTCTATAATGCTATTGTTCAAAGTAAATCTGAACCCATGCTTGTTTTAAGGGTCCTCGATTATGCTAAAAATATTGGGATCCCTGTCATTATCTGAAAATAAGTAGGGTTTTGAATTCTTCTGAGACCTGTGAATGATACTGAGCCAATGGCTGACTTGCTGAGAGCATTATTGGCAAGTATAGGTTACTCTCGTTCTTCAAAACTGACAGCTTCCCAAAGCCATCAATTCCTTAATCAATCCTTTATGTCAAGATATTGAATACCATTAATCTATGAATTGAAGAGGAAGGGAAAGTGAATACGACAATCAATTGCAAAAGGAATCCTCCCAGGAATCCAGATCTGTTTTGGTGGTATTTTTTAAAATAGAGGACCCCGTATTTGTTGGAGGAGGGGGGTATCCTTTTACTGATCAGGATCCAACAATATTATATAATTACTGTCTTTATTGTAAGTACTACTATTAAGATGACTGGACAAACAACCTGACTGACAGTAATATATACAAGATATATTATAGTAGTTATAGTAGTATTATGTGCAGTATATCTTTTCCCCCGAGTTGAACCGAACATGAACTCCGACCCGTGCCCGGTTACGATGTAAACAAAGCAATTGCAGCTTAGCCTCTGGTCTTTTCAGCCGTCTCTTCTGGCTTTGCTTCGGTCTCACTCTTGGCTTCAGTCGATGTTTCAGTCGTCTTGGGTGCTTCGCCCTGACCGATTTGAGGAACTGCCATCCGATTTGAGTGAAGAAAGGCACGAACGACCCTCGGAAGCAACCTTTACAAGAACGACTTTCCAGCACCCCCATTTCCAGCTATTCTGATGACCTTCAACAAAAGGGAAGAATCAGCAACAACAAAGTTTAGGACTTGTTCTGAACCCAATGATGATGTTTCATAGCTTATCTGTAGTATCTGTAGGTGTTGGAAAGCTTCAGTTATATCTATACGTGTTACTTGGAGATGCCGATCAAAGTTTGTCTCATCCATTAGTGTCATCATGTGAGTCATGACGGCAAAGAACTGGAGCAAAACATGAACAAATGACCACCAAGCTAAGCAGGATTTCATCGGGGTGAGTGGATCAGCTGGAGCTCCACCCCGATCCAACAAGGTCGGCACCTACTCGTAGCTCGGCGGAGTTTGCTCCCTCATGTGTCAAGCTGGATCTGTTCGAACGCACTTGGGCCCTGGTGGAAAACGGATGAAGTTCACTTGTTCATTGGAGCCTCCAGTCACATCCAAATGTTGATTGAGGTTGTGAGAGTCGCCAACATCATCTCCGACCAACAATTGGCACACACACATGTATATACATGTATACAACAAACAAATAAAATTGCATAAAGTTGTAATGTGCATATATATATATATACATGTGTATTTGCATATCTCTATGTAAAACTAGATATAATAACACATATGGTCGAGGAGTGCGGGTCACCTGCTCATCCTGGGGCAATGTTGCATATCGCACAACCCTTTGCTATCTATCTCTGCATGGTAATATAATATGTATATATACATTTATATCAATATAATGTGTGTCACTGGTCTTCCCCGGTTTGGATCACCGGTGCAGCGTCCCGTTTGTCGCCTTCCGAGGTAGCTTGAAAGTGAAGACCAAGGGGAAGGGGCATTCCTCAGGCATTCGAATCTGACAGAAACGCGACATATATAGTGGGTTGAGACAAAAGGTGGCTTATATGGACCCCCATCTAAAGGACATCTTGGGGTCTGTGCCGTCTACTCTGAAACCACTGTATGTCTCCCCTGGAAGCTTTTGGAGACTGAGTTGCAGGTCCTGTTGGAGGGTCCTGGTATAAATATGTATAAAATCAATGTAGTGCTTACACAGGTTTTATGTTTGACGGACTTATTCTGATCCGCCTACGTTTATGATATTTTTTGAGGAAAGGAGCCACAAAGTATCAAGCATGAATGGAGCCGCCCGCCAATTCTTGATTGCACAATGGATGATGATTGGGTGCCAGGTAGTGTCTCTAGCAGGCCCATGGATGGACTGTTCATCATCCCCCAGCCAATCACTACAGCCACATCCTCACACCTCTCTGGCTGACTCACTGTGCTAAGCATCGCAAACACCACGCCGGCTCCAGAACTAATGGTCTGCACTGATCAGTGATGGTTTTTGTTCAAACCGGAAACCGAAAGTCCCCAACCAATTCAGAAAACGAGATCAAGGAACCAAACATGGCCATCCAACGCATTTCAGCAAAACATCCCCGGTCCGCCCCCGCCGTGTCTACAGCGGGTGTGCCCCCTTTTCGATGGCGCCGCGGTCCATCGCGCCGCCGTCCATCGCGCCATCAGCCCATGACGCAGCAGTTGCAGCTCTTCCAACATCGGCCTCCATAGAGCTCCACGTTCTTCGGCGGCAAGCGCAGCTCGTTGTGTGATGACATCCTGGCATTCCGATCGGTCCGGCTGGATTTCACCGGAGGAACCCGCGTTGTTTTGGATGATCAATCCTGAAATGAGGAACTGCTTGGTTGGGATGCTGGTTCTCTTTAAGGCTGCAGTACTATCATAAGGCTCTTCTCAGAATTCATGCCAGAATCAGTCCTCTTTCCTACAGTCTTACTTCTCCAACTTACAGCCCACTCATCTAGTCCATGACTCCAATTTGGGTCGTTGGCCCCTCTCTCCTGATGCTAAAACATGCAATGGCTAAACCATCAGAAAAGAAAACACACCAAAACAAAACGGCAAAACACCATCCTATATATGTCGTAGAGTCTACAAGGGTCTCAATCACCTCACCTCGAAGTGAAGAAAACACGAAACGACATACTGCACATTCCCTATCCAGCAATAGTTGAACGCAGAACATGGACGAACATGGCTTCTTGTATGACTATATATGACCATGCGACTCTACAAGATTGGTTGGACGGGGGAGTCATGTGGTCTTTGCAGTTCACTAAGCCAGGCTCGGGCCCCAAAGAAAAGGGCCCACAAGGACCCCATGCGATCCGCTCTGAAAGAAGCATTCCCATCCGCAACTATCCAAAGCAATAAACTAGTATATTATATACAGTAATATATTGTTTTAATATTGCTGACACGGACTCCCATTTTGAATGGCCCTCTGACAAAGTCTATCCACATAATATCATATAATATAATATATCAACTCGGATAGCCAACCCTCCCCAAATAACGAACACCTTCCGAAATCAAACATCCAAGATGCCATCCGCACTCCCTGCTGCTTCATTCTCAGCACCATCTGTAAGCTCAACGGCCAGGGCTCCCCACCTATGGCGCCGTTCACTGTGCGCGTGCGCTGCCGGCGCTGCCTGCCGCCCGCATGGGCAAGCAAACGATAGGCCTGGCTCCAGTGCTGGCTCCGACGGCAGGTGGTCATCGCTGCCTCATAGGTGGTGCCATCTGCCTCCAGTTCGGAGGCTGACAGGTGCTGCAGAAGTACTAAAGAGCGATGCCAGAAGAGGTGCTTCTCCTTGACTGGATTCTGTGGATTCGGATGTTGAGTTGAGATGAGTTGGGAACACCAAACATGTTCTTGCATGCTATTTGGTGCAGGGTCCTCTATTTCTAAGCTGGAATTCTGCGATCTGGACTGCATCATGGGGTGTTTTGTGTGAATTGGCCGCCACGTCCCCCGCATTTTGGTTTGTGGGAGTCACGGTCCTGTCATTGAGACAATACCATCCTAGGGTCCTAGAGCTCAATGGTACTGAATCAAATCAAACCTACAGATCCTATATTAAATAACAATAAAAACATATACAAACACAATATAAAGTAAAGGCATCAAGTCTCATAGGAGGACATGCAAATATTGTGGGAGATCACGTCTATCTGCCTTACTTGACGAACGTCCCTGCTCCAAAAGAAACTCTAAAACCTTTTTTTGCAGTTCAGAAGCCTTAAAAAACAATCATAATCATATACTTTAAACAAAAACGTTCAGGTTACGCTCATGATATCCGTCAAGTAAGCTGCACGTCTTGCCTCTGCATGCTCTGCAAGATCCGTGGCACCAACCACTGCCTTCCTGCCTCCACTGTTGCCGCCAGCGCCACGTTGACGGCGACCACGTCCTCCCGTTGACCAGCGGGTTCTGGCGCCGCGAGGAGGCAACGCTGCCACTGCTGAGCACCACGCAAGGCATTCAAGATGCTGTAGGTGGTGTCCATCTCCAAGCCTTCAAGATTTAGACCGAAGATTTCTTCGGCCAGGTTGGTTCAACGCGGAAGACTTCTTCCAAAAACCCGTGGGCTTATACTGGCTTCTACTTTGGCTTCACTTCCAACAGGCCATGCTATTTGACGCATTGCCACCGGTAATCAATCATTGCTCCGAGAATTTCTTGGATTCTTTAGGTGCTGGGTGGAGGCCCTTTACGCGCCGAAAGCTACACAAACTGAAAAATCCAATCCCTTTCATCCTGGCTTTTGTATTCCGGCACCACCTTGATGTTGAAGCCGCAGCCACTGCGTCAGCACCAGCATCCATGTGGAGCCGGCGCTCCCAAGTGCTTCCAGCACTGCCAGATCGACGTCGCTGCTACATCGACGGGCGGTCGTGAGGGCATGTTCCCAACTTTGGCAGCTATGAGTGTTCAGTATGAGATCAGCTTCTGAAAGTCTCATCCAAGCCTTCTGCTGCTCCCCCAGCTGCAAGCTATGCTGCCATGACACTTCGCTCGCTCTTATGCTGCGATAGCTAACTGCATCGGGGCGGTGTCCGGTGATTTGACCTGTGGGCCCTGCCCAAACGGCCAAGGCGCTCGTCCAAGGGACTCCACCTGACTTGAGCACCTGCAGGCAGGTGGTGTGCAAGACCTCATTGTGGCCCAGTTGGTGATGTCTGAGCTGATGCAAGAGGCCTAAGGCCAATGGCCACATCTGAGACTTCAAGGACTTCATCGCTGAGCTGGAAGTGATTGGACTGGGTCGAGGGCCATGCTGAAACATGGAATCCAACAACTGAAGTGCCACTTCCCATGCTTCAGAATCCGCACAGGCCTCCAGAACCCGATTGTAGGCAATCACATCCGCCTTGTCACGTGGGTGTGTGCCATGTTCCAGTTTCACAAGGGCTGCTTGCCAACGAGACATCGTTCCACATGCATCTGCCAAGGCAGCGATGGAATAGGAGTCGCTCATGCACGCGGAGAGCAAGGTAAAGGACCTCATCCAAAGACCCTCAGCTGCAAGTGTGGCCAACATCGTGTTGATGGTAATCGCATCTGCCCGGCCACATGCAGCACAAGCCTCGAGCAACCCGACAGCTTGCGTCCAGGGCGTCACTTTCATCAAGGAGTTCAGGGTCCCAACTGTGGGCTCCAAGCCTTGTGCCGCCCACCGGCGAAACCACCGCAAGTGCATAGGCCATGCCTCGTGACACGCAGATATGACGGTGGTAGCTCCATACGCATCCGGCGTGCCATCCGTGTCATCCACGAGCTGCAGCGCAAGTCGCCAGTGTTGCTGCAAGGACAAGAGGGCTGAGTTCACTAAAACCGTGTCCAGTTCAGGTGATTGCTTGAAGACGCGGAAGGCGCAAAGCCAATGGTTGGAGCAGGAATTGGTGGCTAAGGTGATGCTGAGGAGATCTGCTTCTAAATGACCTACGCACAGGGGGTTCATCTGGGGTTGCTTTCATTCTCTCTAGACTATAGATGATAAAAAGTGTTTGGAGTTTATATTGTGGGATATTGTGGGCACAGGGCCTGCAACTTTGAGGCATCTTTCTTCTTGGATCTCTTTGTTTGGAGCGAACATGCATGACCTCATTCCTTTGGTGCTTGGCAATGCTGATTGTAAGGCTATGTTCTTCATCATGGAGGTGTTGTGGTTTGGTCAACCTCTCCTCGGCCCATCCATTGCATCAACTGCAGTGTCCAGTGCCATCTGGTGCCGCCAGTCTTCAGGCCGAGCAAAACGCCGTTCACCAGAAACACGTCGGCCTGCAAGGCAGCATTGCCCGCTGCAGCCAGGAGCCCTAAGGCTTCCTGGGAGAAAACAGGCGTTGCCATGGGTGAATTGAAACTTAACATGTCATGGGGATGGGTCAAGACTGAGTCAAACCCTGGAAGACTGGTCCACCTTGTAGCGAAAGTCCTTTCAGGTAGGTCAACTGGTCGGGCACCCTCCCTCCAACAGTCCAACTGGAAGAAACACTGCAAGATGCCCATGACTGGCCCGCCACCGGAGTTTCAACTTCGTGCAGGAAAATAAGTCCGCAAAGTCAGGATGGGATTACAACTTCCTGTTGTTTTTTTTCTTTGGGGGGATGGGCGACTAATAGCAGGGAGGGCGAATTGGATGATCGCGCTCGGCACCTCAATGGAGTTCCCCCACAGAATCCCACATCATGCCACCAGGTGGCTGTCCATTGAGATGCTTTGGATGCCTTGGTCACTGCCAAGGTGTGCAACTTCAAGGTGTCCATGCGCCATGGCGTGACTAAAGGCACAGCCAGTTACTCAAGCCGCGAGTGGGCGAAGCTTGGGCGAAGTTCTGGGGGGACAGGCTAAGTTTTGAGAAAACAATAGCTCTCTTGGATGGCACTGTCCAGGAGCTGGGACAAATAGGGGGGTTCACCGACAGGAACAAACCAAATCACCCTATGCCCTGAGCAAAGCCCAGCGTTCGTTCCTTGTTGCTCCTGCTGCTGTTGCATGGTGCTTGCCGGGGATAAGAGCATTGGTCCAGCGTTGGTGGCACATGAGTCGGCATCGGTCCAAGAGAATACCCTTAAGAGCGCTTAAGAGAACACACTCCCTGAAATAATCATGGAAGTGTCTTGTACCACACAGTGTCTTGTTCTCTTTCCAGGTCTTGTTGTGCACCTGGTACTTAAAAATACACTTCGAGTCACTAACATGGAAGTGGAACCACCTGTATTTAGAGGAAACTTGTCATCCAATAGGGACAATTTTCTGCTTCGATGATTCTTTCAGGGAATGTAGACATCTCCTTGCAAGCACTGCAAGCACCGACCGCTGCCGCAGTTTCGCCCATGATCGCCGTTGCGCGCCTTTGACAACTCCGAATTCACACTCCGACTTTCCGGGCCCCCCCCCGGTGTCGCAGGGTGTCTAACAGCCCCGAAGATCGGGGTGATTCTTTTCCCGGCGTTTCGGGCACTCCACTCACCTCAAGTCGACGTGGATGGCCGCCGAATACGCTTCCTGCCGTCCCACTGGGCGACCCGTGCTTTGCCCTCTGCGCTGCCGCCGGGGCCAAAGGGGTCGTCACCCTCAGCGTCATCCGGCGTCGCATCGAGTGCATCGAGGAGCGTCGAGGTGCTCCGTGGAGGGTGGGAGGTGCTCCGTGGATCATCTGGCACTGCCGCCGGCACTGCCCAGATTGGAGCGGTTGAAAAGGGATGAAAAGGGCACAGTAGGCTGATATCATGCACAGTACATTCATGTACATTCCATAGAGCAAGGGAGAGTTGATACAAGGAGTGGCAGTTGATGCGGATTCGCAGGAGCTCCTGGGCGGTGATGCCTCGGGAATTCCTCTAAGCGTTTGACCGTCATTCTTGCGTATAGGTTATGCGAACGCCAAACACTCCATGTATGCATAATATGTATGCCATATTTGCCGATCAGTTGGGGTGGTTTGGGCGGTCAATGTTGGCATATATGGCAGTCACATGGAGTGTCTGGGTGGCTATGCAAGCATTCTTGGTGGAGAATCGCGTCCTTTTTGGTGAACTTCAGCAACCTGATTGATCTTTCACCTGTTCACATACACCCCACTCCCAAAAGATCCCAAAAGTGTGAATGCCAAGCTGGCAACACAGTCATATCTGCCCATTTAGGGGAACATCAAACCACACACACTCGCGCATTCCTCTGCCATTCTTCGAATGTTTGTTGCCCAGACCGACTATAAGCATCCTAGAGGCTGAGGGACCCCAGATTTTTGAAGCCAAACATGCTCTTCTCCAATCAAAGCAGGGGACAAGTGGATAGGATTGAGCTGCATTGCGACCAATTTTGACGCCTCAAAATATCGATAGCTGGAGGCTTCAGTTGCTTTTGAACCACCACACACAGCTTTCTGTTTTCGTGTTCCATTTCTGACATGGACCCCGGCCGCCCATGACGAGCCATCTAGATACTCCGTTGATCCCAGCATATGTTAACAAGATTTAACAAGTGATGTCACCCCCCAAACTCGCACGACTTGTATATATAAAGAGACGCTAGTTCTTTGAACACTCATCCATTTGAATTCACTTGTCTAGCTTGGGGATCCTCCAAGCCTTGGTGGGCGACCCTTCACACCTGCTCTCCACCCGGCAGGCATGCCGTCGTCTGTTTGAATGAAGCGGCTGAGATCTCCATCATCATCGTCTCGGGGCCAACCACTTCGCCAGAGGCCTAGGACATCACTTGGATGAACATGGGGTCGAATTGGGATACACGAAGCGAAGAACACGTGTGCGGCACGTAGTGGTGAAAACGTCGTTGATCTCCCACAAAAAGAGTTTTTATTGGTAATATGACAACATTGTTGTTGAGTTGTTGGGTGAAAAGGGATTTCCAAAAGTGAGAAGGGGGTGGGCATCCCCTGGCCATCCAACGTAATTAATTATTCCGTCCCCTTGGCCCTTGATTGGAGCAAATATAGGGTGTAATAACGCTCTCATGGGTCCACTGCTTGGTGGGAACCCTGTTGAACTTCAGGGGCTTGAGCTGGCGGCTAACGTTCATAAGTTCACAACGGATGTTTTCCACGTCCATGCATTGACGATAAACCTTTGGGGGTTGCTTCATCCTAAGCCCAACTGCTTACCCAAGTAGGTCTCTTTAAAACTGACACCGATCATCTGAGGCTTAGGTGATTGAGGGTCGCAGTCAGGAAAATGAAGGCGGCATGGAGATGCAACTTGGGCTAGCGCTCACCTAAGGTTCGAAAATCATGGTAGCAGCTGCACCTCTCACACAAGATTTCTTTTGTCCGCTTGAACCCTAAGTGCGGGTATGTGCAGGAAATTGAACAACATATGCCGTTCCCTGATTTTGGGCTGCTATTTGACATCGATCTTTGGAATTTGATGACGGTGAGGACTGAGACGAGGTCACCGTGAAAAAACACCTCAAACCAGAAAACACTTTTTTGGAGGTGAAAGCCAGCCAAACGAGGTGAACCTTCTGAAAATGGAGTGCCAAACCCACTGAAACCACAGCGATTCACTTGGAAATGGCTGTCCAGGATCCGGAAAAAAATAACAGACCAAACCTTCCCCTCAAAGGGGATTTTGCCAATCAGGGAAAAGGGAAAACTCAACGGCAAGTAAAACCATGTTAAGGGTTCCGTGTTCCCGGTGCTCACCAGGCGCCCAAAACCTCCACTTCGTGCAGAACGCGCACTCGACCTCGTCCCAGTGGCGCTCTTCACCACTGGCTCCGGCAAGAGTGTGGGATGCATCATGTGCAGCTCAAAGGGGTCTGACCAGCCAAGCCTTGAGTGCTCCGACATGCTTCGACCACCCTTTTGGGCCAATGTCTTTTTGAGTATGGATGGAAATGGACATGTATATGTTATCAGCACACAACATCGGGGTAGAGCTTCAGAGTTTCAATGGGGTTTTAGGTGCAAGGATCTTGAAGGTGTTAATTTAACACAGTTTAACACATGCTATATAATTACTAAGAGTACTAAGAGTGTTTTCCGCCTGGATGGTACATGCATATTGTATATATATATATACACCTTGGGTGAGATTTGGTAGTTCATTGTTTGTTCACAGATGCCCCGTGAAAGACAGTGATGATTCTGTCCAAACAGGTCTTAGCCGGGCGATGCATGATTCTGGGTAAAGTCTTTCGTTGCTCCCCTCTCGACTCTCCTACCCTTGTTATATAACCTCTTGCCAAACAAAGCCAAATGCCCCAAAGGACCTCTAAACTCCTACACATCCTAAAACATGGGAACGCTACAGCATCTCGCCGCGCAAAGCTGCTCCGACGAGCCAAGCTGCTCGGTCATGATCGCCTCCATCTTTTTGCCCACGGTCTGCGGCAGGCGGGGTGAGACAACGCACAGCATTTACTTCCCCAAAACGTCAAAGAGCTTCAGGTTTTTTGGTTCGTTTCAAGGTTGAAAGGTTGCAACAAAAACGCGAAAACCCGCAAGTATATTGACAATGATCTTGATGGTGACTTCTTCAGGGTGTCTTTCAAAATTTCCCTGAAGTCCCCTGAAGCTTCCACAAGAAGATTCAACAGTCTTCAACACATTAGACATTAGTCTATATTGTAAGTTGTCTCCAACCACATGGTCATCAGGTGAGGTACTTTGCGCTTGCGTTAGTGTGTCTGTGCGTTAGTGTCTCTGCATGAGGGATATGAAACTGAACATGGAGTTCCAATATGTTCCAACGCCAATCCTGTTAAGATCCTTTAAGGGTCAATTTGCATGGAGGATGCTGACAAGAGCTGCGGCCGCGGGCTCTCTCCACCATCACATGTTTTAAAATTATCTTCTCCTGTGAACTGGTCAATTCAAGCAGCAACAGCCTACCAGACCGTTGAACTTGCTGAGCTGCACAAGGTGTCTTTTAAGACTTTGCTGCAGGATGGTGGCTTCCAGGGTCCTCCAAATTCTTCCACGTTCTGTTGAAAACCATCGCGCAAACCACCAAGCCCATGAGGTGAAGAACACGACCACCCAGTCCACCCGGCACGAACACAATCTTGGATTTGCTGATTGGCGAGCCCGGAGAGAGAAAACAAAATTACACCACCGTAGACCCCAAACAGTTTGTGCTTTTCTACATCGGAACACTCTGCAACTACAGTTTGCGACGTCCAGAGCTGGGAGACAAAGGATTGCAAGGCAGAGGCAGACACAGCAGTCCAGAGCGAGACAAGTGTAGGTACAGGGAGACAAATGTGAAGGATTCCAAGCGACATGCAGCCCAGCGCTGGGAGACAAATAAAGGATTGCGAGGCAGTCACTAGCGAACACAGCAGTCAAAGCTGCGAGACAAATGTAAAGGATTGCAAGGCAGAGGCGCACACGGCAGCCCTGAGTTGAAATGTAAAGGATTGCAAGGCAGAGGTGGACACAGCAGGTCATTGTGTCCGCCTTGTCTCCCTTCTGTCTCCCTTTATCTCGCTTGCAATCCTCAACATCAGCTCTGAGCTGCTGTGTCCGCCTCTGCCTTGCAATCCTTTAGATTTGTTTCCCAGCTCTGGGCTGCTGTGTCCACACCAGCAGTGACAGCCTTGGGAGACAAATGAATAGAAACGCTACATGGCCAGCGGAAAAGGGCGGACACCAGCAGTGACACAAAGGGCGGACACATCTTAAGAAAGAATTGAGAACCCCTAACAGTAAACTGTTTGGGGAAAAAACATATTCCCCTGAATTAAGGGGATTCACTCAGTTCGGGAAAAGCACAAATCACCTGATCCATAAAATCAGGCAACCACATTCAGAAGTGCATGCAGGACAGTGGATGGCCATATGACGGTCCATAGTGTCTTGAGCTGCACAGTGCTTTGCTCCGTCGACTTGGAGGTAGACTTTGCCAAGCGGCCCGCCACGATGCCAGTCAACCATGGATGAGGATTCAGCAGGATGCGGTAGACAACAAGCATGTTCAACGCCACAAACAACTGATCAACACCCGTCATATTGTGCCGAGCTATGGCATGCATCAATTTCCAAAGAAGCATGCCAATTGCGGCCTTACAACATTCACAATTCTCTGCTACCATCATGCCAACTCCAACGCTGAAACCAGCAAGCATGACACCCTTCTGACTTCGTGGCCACAATTTTGCAGTGGTTGCACATGAGGACCACCAAACAAGTGACATCATTTTTGCCAGTTCCTCCACCCCGCCCATGGCGCTGATGAAGCCTGTCCGTATCATGTAATGACCCAGGTTGGGTGACACGAAAGAGATGAATTCTTGCAAACACGTCTCCCAAAGGAACGACAGCAACACTGCGATCGTGGCTCCTCGACATGCAAAGTGTGCCATGCTGCCACGCTCCACCCGCACGGACTCACTCCACATCCACCTGGTCAAACCAATGAGCCCAGCAAGAGCTGAATAGACCACCAGAAAGAGTGCCCGACCTGCTTTTAATGAATAAAAGGCAACTATAGCGCACCAAAGACACACATTCCAAGACCAAAACATATTCTCTTCGTATCTGGTTGCTTTTATGAGAGTAGCTTCTCCAGCATTGAGCTGGATGGCAGCAGGTTGTCTCAGCCAGTGGTGATGCACAAGGTCTTGCTTCCGCCGCATCCATTTCGTCTCTTTCACTTCCTCTACCCCACGTGTGTCATGTAGCCGGCCAATCAGTCTTGCTTTCTCTGGGAATGAAAACGCACCACTACCAAGCACAAGCGCCATCCCACATAGGAGTTTCAACATTACCCGCGGAATATTCATCAATGCTCGAGACAGCGGCAAATTGGCTGGAAATGCCTGCGGGCCACAGCGAGCACATCAGCACAGGACCCAGGAAGCGTCCCATCGGCATTCCAGTCGTACAGGATCGCCATGTTTTTTGTAGGAGTTGTCCTTATCAGAGACCCAAAGACCACAGACCCTCATTGGTCCATAGACTCCTCCTTCATTCTCATGTTTACTCCTCCTTCATTAGTCCATAGACCCTCCATAAGGCCCAGCTTGTGCCCAACATCCGCGTTTCCCGGAGATCCGCCTCCATCATCACCATTGGCCCAGCCATCATCTCCTGCGCCACAGTATGTCCGACAGCAACCACCAGCGAATTTTCTGTCATAAACAGGGTACTGTAGACAAATCTTACCATGGTTGGTCTTGGCGCATTTGGGATTTTCAGTTCCTTCACGAGAAAAACTCATCGGATTGATTGTAAAGCCTCATTCTGCCTTATTATTAGGGGGTTGAAATATCATCTCATCAAGAGTCTACATTAAGAATCGCCCCACCCTTTGCCCCTTCATATAGGGTGGCGTTATGTACTGTATATATCTGTATATAGAATCGAGAGTCTACGTCAACAAGTCATAAGAAAAATCAAAATCCAAAGGAATAAACAGCCGTCACGGAGAAGCTCATTGAAAGAACTCAGGGAATTCACCTCCAAGCTGATGGTGAACTCTCGGTCATGGAGCTGCACCTCTCCAGCCGCCGCCTGTCGCGCGGTGCTCGTCTTCGCGCTTCTTTCGGGAAAGAGCGAGACCCACATAGAACCCTGCTCTACCCTGCTACAGTGATCTGCTTGGTGGTTTCAACTGCTGCTTGGTAGTTTCAACTCAATTCAAAAATATGAGTCAGGGGGTTCAATATGGTTCAATCATCCCAAGTCGGTTGAACATGAACATTTCCGAAGACACCACCTCTTGTGATAACCATCGTGATGCCAATTCATAGGTCGGGGCTCTCAAAAACAACTGCTTGAAGAGGGGTGGAAGGAAAGTCTGGAAGGACTTCCTCCCGTCATCTAAGTGGGTCTGTTCAACTTCTCCCACGAGGGGTAGTCCTTTGGCGGCTTCTACACCCAGTCCATCTCAGCATACTAGAGCTGTAGGCATGAACGGGCATGAAATATAGGAGACTGCAGAAAACACCCTAATTAGATTGATTAGCAAATATCCTACTAAGCATGTCTGTATACTCTCTCCTGGTTCTTTCTAGCATACACTAGCACATACCTCCCATCCATTGCCAGCACCACCTCATCCAGTTCCCACGCCTTGGGCGCTTCCAACTCAGCCATAAACGCCGCGAAGTCCGCAGCCGCTTTCTCCATCGCCGTCGCGAAGGCCTCCTCCGACGGACCGAGGTCCGCCGCAAAGGTGACAGTGGCGGGGGGCGGCTCGGTGGCGGCCGCCTCGGCAGCGGCCTGGGAGGTGGACGGATGAAGGACGAATCGATCCGGCAAAGCGTCCTGCATCAGTTGGGACGGCTAAAGCGAAGCAAGAGTCTGTTTCCGGTGATGCGGATGTTCTATGCGATGTTCTACTAGGGTGCAGCGCGACACAGCGCGCCAGAGATGTAGGAGGACTACATATGTGCTGACTGTGCGGAAGGGTGTGGCCTGGCATGTTGCATCATGTTGCTATCGTGGGCTGACTCCAGTGTGTTGTTCTTTTTCAATTCTTTTGAAAGCTGCCAATGATCTAGCTTGGAATCCTATCAAGAAACTGTCAAGAGAGAGTGTAAGCCACCACCTCACACCCGAGTCCACTATAGGCCGAGTCCAGTGCTTTTCTTCGCCCACGAGGACGCTTTCTGCGCCGACGAAACGAAGCGTTCCAAAGTGGGAGCAAATTTAGGAGGAGCCCGTCTTCGGGTGTGAGCCAGGGCACTTTCTCTTCAGCCTTCTTCTTTTTCCGTTCTTTTTTCCTCTTCTTTTTCAGATCCTGGAGCTGCCGCTGGTCAGATTTTTTTTTGACTTTTAGACTTGACGCTGATTGAGCTCAGGGCGCTGCAGCTGCAGTTCAACCCAAACAGCCTTGGTGGGTGGCTGCCATCTTATTGTGGGATCCATTTCTTGATACCACAGCAAGCCGATATGATGAGAAAAAAAACAAAAGTGAAGCAAACATCAGGAAACTCGGTAACTCAAACATTTGAACATATTCGACACATTGGAGGGAGGAGTCTAGGGACTTGAATTTCCCCTATGGAACTGCACAGGGCAAGTCCTTCCAAGCGCGACTCAGTCCATCCTGGAAAGTCAACCAGTGTGTCCACTTGGGTGAGCCTCTTTGTGTCTCCCTGCTCACCTTGTAAGGGTGGCAGTGGATGCATAGGGAACCCTGTTTGACGCTAACATGCTCAGCAGCTTTGGGGCGTTACCTGGGCGCCACTGTTTGGTGCTCCAGCGAATCCCTTGTGCTGAAAACAGCCGACGCACTGCGCCTTTTGCCAACCGGTCCTTTTTGGAGAGCTCTTCGTCCGGCGCCTTCTGATCCTTGGCGATTCTTGTTCAAAAGCGATGTGGCCCAAAGGAGCCCAACCGGGTTTATCAGCATATTGCTTGGAGTAGCAGGATGTAATTAGAAGCAAGAACAAGAATAGCAGCAGGAGGAGAGGACCATTAGCGCTGACGGCAGCAGCAGTGGCAGTAGCAAGAGTATGATCATTGTATTTCTAGCGAAGGGGACTGACATGGTTTCAAAGACGAGGCCAAGCTACAAACTTCACCAGCATGAAACCTAGTGATCACATGGACAACATGCATTTTACCACGTCGGCCATGATCGGAAACACACGCTCAGCACATGCTCAGCCTCCTTTTGGTTCACACGAACTCGGAATCGTGGACCGCGGCTGTGGCGGGTTTCAGAAGAACCAAAGCGAACACAGCTCCAACAATGCTTAGGGTTCCAACTATACCTTCGGAGGATGCAGTTGGAACCTTAGGACATGTTTGAACCAGCCGGAAGAGCAAAGAAGCCAATGAGTCGGGCAGGGATGATGTTCATCCCAGCGAAAGGTGGAACATGAGCAATACAAATTCACTTACAAACCCATATAAACCCTAGAAACTAGAAACCCGAAGACTCTGTTGGGCACCGCAAGGAAAGTCCTGTTCGGGTCATCCAAGAACATGTTTTGAGATAGTCCAAAACAACAGTAACCTAACCACCATCCACCACACGGGCGGAGCCATGAAACTTCAAACCCGCTTGGGTTTGGGCTGACGTGTCAGCCCAGAACCAAACAAACGCCAAGGTTCCGCTTCTTTGACAAACCTTGTCAAGGTCTCGAAAGCCTCTGGGATCTCGTTCTTCACCGTTGGGTTCAGGTGCAACGTCTTCCTCAGTGCCGCAGCCGGACCGGCTGCCAGGACGACCACGCATCCGGATGTCCAATGCCAGTGCTCGGAACAAGCAACGCTAAGAGAGGGATGCCTGGAAGCAGCAAGTAAAGTATGAAACAACACAAGGAGCAAACCCTGCATGTGAGATCTATAGTGTGTATAGTTTTTTGGCACACAAACACGCACCTCCAGAGTTTGCAAAGGAAACGCTTCGCCCAACCCCAGCCTCGCTGCTTCACCCTCTTTGGGCACTGACACCCGCTCTTCCTTCGAACAAGCATCTCCAAATCCAAGTTCCACCCTGCGCGCACTCCAGCGCCAGACACCAGGCCCTTCTTACCCAAGCGTTTCAGGGACACCGTGAAGGGACTCCTGGACCATGCAAATGGAGTGGTGAGATGGGCACCATGATGCATGCTGGGCACGTCAAGCGCAGCTCATCTTGACCCTACTTGCCCGGAAGTCTGCTAACTTGGACATATCATCTAGGTTGCGAGTCTCCTAGCCTCAGCTCCAAGTTTCCTAGCCTTTGACCTGAGCATCTTTTTCTACACCGAACGTCGGTCTAGATTAGTTCAATACTTAGGCTTAGGTTTGACTTAGCTAAGAAAGAGTTATATAAGTCAGCTAACTCATGCTAACTCTATAGTTTTGATATTATATATAAGTCCGAGCTAAGCCTGGTTCAAGGCGCCAGCCAAATCCAAGCCCAGTCCCGAGCTTAATCCTAAGTTCAAGCTTAGCCAAGCTAAGTCCCAGCCGCAGCCTTATCCGAAAAACCAGAAAATATTGAGATACATTGAGAAATGGACACAATATTGTCCATAGAAACCGTTTCTATGCAGCCATTGTACATGGGGTGGTGTCAAGAGTTCCAGTTTATGACACCTCAAAGGACTCAAAGTTGCACATGTTTTGTTTTTTAAAATAAATAGCGTCAGGCTCTCTATAAATAGCGTCAGGCTCTTTTATAAATAGCGTCCAGAAGGGGCTGGGGCCCAACAGTGAAAGAGGCCCCAGCACCCCATAATAGAAACGGCCAAAAGCCATCCAACAAACAAACAGTGTCCTTGATGGCTTACTGGTCATGTAGTGCTGGACGCAGGCACGACACTGGTCATAGCCACACATGCGGCAGCTCCAACGAACCTGCACCGCAGGAGGAATCCAACGTGGATGACTACATGGTTCTTCAAAGTGACCTTTTGACTCTTTTGATATCCGGTTTTCAGGTCACTTGGGCGAGAAGGTGACGGACTCCAAAGTTCGGTCACGAACTGAGAAGCCACGTCGAGCTGCCAGCGGTCACCGGGCACCGTCGTGAGGAGGGACCCGTGAGGTGGTCTTTTACTCATGCCACTCTTTGAAAGTCACACCTTGAAGCAGTGAAGGCACCGGAACGCAGGAAAAACGGTGGAACAAGTACGAACTGAGCCAACAAACTGAGCCAGCCTACATCACCTGATGGGAACGTCCTACACGAACTTTCAAAGACAATGAGCACAAAGTACTCGCGGTGCGAAGAGGAGGGAACATATGGAGATATGGAGAAAGCTGAGAAAAAGCACGGGTGCCTAGTCACATCATAGACAAGAAGAACATGATCAACAGTTAGTAACATCTGATGATCAATGATGATCACTGGATCTTACTAAAGGTTAAAGCAAACTTCCTAACTTTCCTACACCTTCAGATCGTTCCCTCAATTCACACATGGTGCATGAGCTGAAGTGGCGCCTTACCTGAGCTTTCGAGAAAACCTACCGGCCCATTTTAGGTTCTGAGTGCAATTTGTTGTGTTGGCGGTCCTCAATCAATCAATACCGGTTGTGGTTCAAGCTCTCCCGACTTCATCGAAACCATCCGTCCAGCACTTGCAAACTAACAGGAAGTCTCTCACCTGCATAGCAATCTCATTTTCTGGCACCATTTTCATGACAACCGGGAACTCCTCCCATCCCGTCGCCTCACCACCGGCGGAACACCGGACTCCGGACTCCGGACTCCGTGCCTTCGGCCCTTCGGTCGATCGCGTGCAAACATGTGACTGGTTATCACAGTACCTGCGCGTTTGGACTGTCTGCACCTCTGCACTCTGGGGGCTCTATCGTACTCTATCTTCTCACCACCGTTTCAAACATCTAAACAGTCCTTCCTTCCTTTCTTCCCAAAAGGCACACACTGTGAATGGTTGGTGTTAAGTGGAGCTGTTGATAGTGTTGGGGTCACCGTTGACCTCCCGAGTCCACAGCCGAAAACCGCATGAGAGAAAGCACGGGTTTTCTGAACTGGCAACACCATCATGAATCAAGGATGCATTTGGCATAATGTAGTTAAGAATGTTCATCAATGCTTGTCAAAATGCGGTTCGGGGCTGAGCCAAACCTTGAATTCTCAGGAGAATCCTTGCAGGAAACACATATCATATAATTCCCAGGGTTGCCAATCCTGGGCCTCCCGTGTTCACACTTCGTTGGGCGTAGTCATCCGAAAACAGCTACCCCCCCCCCCGGCAGTTTGCCAAAAATGGAGCTTGAACACTAAACCGTTGGTGATCGCGAAACTCCCACACCACACACGCCAAGACCCAAAAGACCCACAAGACCCGCTTCCAACGAAACAAGTGTTCCCCCCGGCACCAGGTCGTGGAGCCATTGTCGAACTTCACCAACGCCTCGACACGGACGGCACATCAGACGGGACCTCGTGTGGAACCATGTGCCCCCGACCGGTGTGCAACCGGAGGACTTGTCCGCCGCAACCGAGTAGCCGCGGAAGAGGGTGTAATTGGATGACTTCAGTGTAGGAATAGATTGAATTTTAATTAATACATCATCGTCATCATCATCAACATGGTCATCATATATCATCATTATCACGGTGCAAACGAGCCTACCCCCGGGACCCAATGGAAGACATCGCAAACGTGACGAGCACAATTCTGGAACCGCCGGCCCTTGGTTGGTCCACATCCACTTCAAGAATGCGAGAAACCAATGATCATCCATGTTGGCCTACTTACCTATCTTGGGGTGGTTGAAAAGGGGTCAATGTAGACATACATTCCAGTCCCAATTGGTTTGGGTCAGTGGCACGTGGTTTCTCCTCCACCCCGCCATTCGGTCGATGCCGTTTGCAGCTGAAGCCGCATGTGGGTGACAGCTCACTGTGACCTGGAGGAGAACGGGAAGGAGCTTCCGCGAAGCTCATCTTCAACTATCCATGATTGAGTAGCCAATTCTTGAACCATATAGCCATACTACTAATTAGCCATACTCTCCAAAACGCCTAAACCTCGCATGACCAGGCCTTGGGCAACTCCCTGAGTCGGCTCGGGATATCACGATCCGAGCCCATGAAGTCATGCGGGTGGGCTTCCAAGACTTCAACTGAATACCCGAGCAAGTCCAAAGGGAGCTTTTCTTGGAGCCCTAGGGCTCCAACCATATCCTCAGAAGGTCGTTAGACCCCCTGGCACCCACCCCAACCACCTTCTCAGGAGGTGGTTGGAGCTTTTCTTGGAATATCTGTTCACCAACAAGTTCTCCTCCCCAGTGTCTGACACGTCGACTCGGGTACTTTGAGGGTTCATGCCAACCGCGAAGTGCCCTTTCAAAGGCAAACATCCAAACTCGTTGACTTCCGGTTCTCAACCTTGTAGAGGAAAGTCTTCTCAACTAGGGACGACTCGGGATGACTAATTAGGGCAAGGATGAGACACTTGCGAGGTTTGGGGGGACATGTTTAACTGCTACTGGTACTTCTCTAGCTTCATCACCCGAAATAACCCTCATTATGTGGGCGGCAAAACTGATCTCATCTGCACCGAAAGCACAACACAGCTCCACCAGCTGCCTATCTGCCTCAGCACCTTAGGGACCTCTGCAGGACTCGCTCCTTCACTCCACCAGGCGCCATGCTTATGCGCCGTCGCACCACTCCAAGCGGCGGTATCTGGGAGGACGGTGCTCTGCTGTTGGAGCTCCGTCTGCAGAATCTCTGTGGAGGCTGCCGTGCCGGTGGGGAACCTCAGTATGGGGGGTGTACTAAGCGGCCTTATTACGGCATGCGTAACAGCGTAGTCAAGCGAAGAGAGTTTCCTACTACTATGACGACCACGACCACGACGACGACGACGACGACGACGTCGTCTAGTAGTAGTAGTAGTAGTAGTAGGAGTAGGAGTAGGAGTAGGAGTAGGAGTAGTAGTAGTAGTAGTAGCAGGAGTAGTAGTAGTAGTAGTCGTCGTCGTCGTCGTCGTAGTCTAGCAAATCGACATGGACAAGACCACAATGTGAAATTACTTACGAGCAAATGGTTGTTGCATCTCTTCTCCACATGATGTTTGGGGGGTGCGTATTTGTTGGCCAAAGTGCAAGTGTCCTGAAGGGAATATAAATCAATATTAATTTGTATAATGTTTCTGCCTTGGGGTTAGGGGTATGCTCTGATTGAGGCTCCCAGCATCATTCTCCAAAGGCCTCTTGGTACATAGCCCTGCCCTAACAGTCCCTCTATAAGCCTCTATAAGCTGCTAAACGGTGACATATATCAACCCCTTGGTTTACTTGGGAAGGGTCCTGACTAGACAAAAGTTCCTCAACCTGTTGCACATTGCAGCATCCACCAAAATTTGGACGCCAGCATTCGTTGCCTCACCAAGCAACAAACACAAGTCACTCATATGTCATTCATTAGAACAACTGGTATTCAACCCTTCAAGGCACACATGCTTGCAAGCGCGCCAAGCTGATGTGGACACCATCTCACACGGTGAGACCACCTCCGCCCATCGCATCATCCGATGACCTGTGAAGGTCACCAGGTCGGTACAGCTTCTGCCGAGCTTCTGCACGTGAGCTTCTGGAAGTATGGCCACCTGACATGTGAGGCCTAGGCCTCAACCGGACTGAGAAAGTAGGCCAGCAGTGGATTGGATTTCCAGACCGTTGCGTTGTTATACTTAGGACTCTGCTACCAAACCAGTTCAACCTTTTCCTTTAATGGTCTTGGAAGGCTAGGGTTAAAGGACACTGATCTATTTTTTGGGGGGACCGGAGATCGAAGAAGCCCCGCTCACGCCAAAAGAAACCGATGGCACTCAGTGGGACACAAGAAACACGTGCAGCTCCTGCCTGAGATTGCGAGCAGCTGTTGGTGAAGACCAGTGTCAAATCGCCTCGCGGGCCAAGGTGTTGAACTTCGCTTTGCTTGAAATAGTAACTATATGGTGAACAAATTGCCCCCCTTGGATGACCATTTTCCATCACTTTCCTCTACAATCCGATGGATGTCCACTTCCATACTGATTCCGGTCAGTGTAGAGCTCCAGGAATAAACAGTTTGTTTTTCAACCGGAGCTCTTGGGGCGTTAAGTGCCCCCTGGTTCAAAGTGACCGAACTGAAGGTCCCATGAGCACCCAAGTTCAAATCACTTGCGCTCACTTGCGCCTCCTTTTAGGGTATAGGGCGCTTTGACGAAGCTGGTTCAGGGAGTCTTGCATATTTCTCGTCTGTTAAGGTCACTTACTGGGTGCATCTGTCGGTAGAACGAACCAACATGAGGAGTCCATTCAGTTCAGAAGCAAACAGCATGATCAACCAGAAGCGGTCTTGTATACGGAAGCAGCTGTTTACTTGTTGCTGGACACGCGAACCAAAATCAAATATGTATTGCCCAAATATTGTTATTAGATTGAATAGGAGTTCCAAAATTACTGCATCTCCCTGAGAATGCAAAATCATTACTGTATATACTGTTTTCAGCCAAACAAATATTGAAACAAATATTGACGAACAAATACCAATCAATGGACCGAATATATATGAATCAACTATCTACAATTACATTGATTTGTCTGGGTCTCACAGCACCTGGCACAGATTTCACTGTCAAATCACCACCGGCCACTGGCAGCGTGACGAAGCGACTTCACCATGAGTACTTCTCTATATAAGTGGATTCAAAACAATCCAGATCAGCATCCGGATCGTAATGCATGTTGATCCTGATAATACGTAATGTTTGGGTTCATGCCCATGCCGATGTCATCTTCGAAACCAAGAGGCGCATCTTCCGCAAATCCTCGTTCAACCGCTGCTGCACCTCCTTCAGGTTCTGGAAACAGGCCTGGCGAGAAGCGGTAACCACGCGGTGGTCAAACCACGCGCGGTTGGAAAAAACCCAGTCGCGAAGTCAAAGAGAAAGCGGAGTGCTCACATGGACAAACAGTTCCAAGAAACAAGCTGGTTTTGGTAGGTGGATGATCTTCATGCGACGATGCATTTAGGGAGATGATGGGGTCATGAACAATGTGACACTTGTATCTTGACCTGACTACCTTGTCATGCCAGGTTATTTCTGGTACAAGCACAACACAAACTACAACTTAAATGATTTTTTGCTGGCCGCCAGGGCCTCTTGTTGCAAGCTTCAGAACACCTGCTCAGCACTCCCGGAGTAGTTCGGACGTGTTAACCGGCACCCTCAAGACTTGGGCAGGCAAGACTTGGTGGGAGGACTGCAACCAGAACACTTCAGGAGTAGTTGGGTGGTCCCTACTAGGCCAGGACGCAATAATTGGTGCATATAGTCCAGTCGTGCTTCAACCTACCCAATAGGGTTTCGCTTCTTTTTGGTCCAGCTATGCGTGCTCGTGGGGATCCCGGGCTTTGCTACTTTGCACCCTTGTTTCTTGTACCAACGACGGGCTGCTGCTCAACCCAAGTCGTGCAGTCACACAAAGGTCGGTTCGAATTGGATGAGGTCCACGAACAAAGCAGGCCATCAATAGTGTCCGTATTTGGGAATTAATAATAGAGGGGCCGGGTTGGTACCATATACCTACTGCTGGTTGTACTCTTAAATCCCTTCCATTTGGTGTCTATCCTATTACTAGTAACAATGCAAAATGGTTAGCAAAGGTCTTGGGGGCTATGGTTCGAGACACCCTCCGTCCTCGATGAAGGCTGGTCGATTGGAGGCTTTGGAGTCGCCTGGAACGAATGGACGAACCACACGATGAATATGATGCGACCGGAGCCGCAAGGGAGCCATGCTGAGATATGCTGGGATTGGCTGATTCGACTCCGGGCAAAAACTATGTATATATATATATATATGTGTGTTTCTTAGAAATGGTGTCACCGCTTCACCTATTATTTTGAGGAATTACACACATTCCCCTTCTAAAGAACCACAATATGACGGCGGCTTTCGATGGACCAAGCCCTGAAGGATCATCTTGACCTTTCTACCCACTGCTTGTTGGTTTATACTTGGGGTGATCAGCCTTCGATTCTGCACCAAAGAAAACGAAAGATCACATACAATAATTAAGCAACTGGCATGTGGCTCTGCCTTGCCTACAGTGAAATCCGAACCAACACACGCACAACAAAAAACACAATAAGCATGATTGTATGATTTTTACAGAACCCAACACCCTATGGATCCACATACATTCTCAGAAGATACTTGGACCCTCCAAACCTACATAACAGCCTCTCCAATCACCGTACCCGAGAAGGTACGACTGGATCCATAGGCCATAGGGACAAGTTTCTAAAGGTGGGTCCTCCAACGGAACCTCCAAGCCGCTCCCTGCTTTCTATTGCACATGTCCAATGCTTTCTGCGCTCCTCCACCCAGGCAGTCCAAGATCTGGGAGAGTTGAGGCCAGGAAGCTCCCAAACTCGCGGTTAAGTCCTTACAGGCGCCGCGGGCGGAGTCGCAGCGGTGCTGCAAATGTGGGGGATGTTCCCAACATCGACGCTGGAGGCTGAAGTGATAGTGTGAGGACTGGTTCATCGACTAGTCCCTGCCATCATCAGTGTATGAGGGCAAGTTGCAGAAAAATGAAATCAAGGAAGGTTGAGAGCATGATGGCTTCCAAGCAAAGAATTCTATGGCTGAATCATTCTGACAAAAGTTTTAACCCGACCTGAGAGAGAGAGAGAGAAGATCCAAGCACTGGGATACCTCAACTGGCCTGTGGCGCTCGAACTGCAATGTCATAAGTGTCGACGAAGGTGAGCTGATACGAAGTGCAAACTTCTCTGCACTGGAGGAGAAAGAAAGTACCAAATGAACAAAAACAAAAGAACTTTCTTAGAACGTTTTTTGATGCTTTTTGAATGCAACCTTGTCCTTCTCTTGGGGAACGCCCCGTTTTGGGGGAAAACAACTAAACAATAGTCTGAATCCAAACCAAGACGACCTTTTGGAGCCACACTTCTGGCCGCCAAGGCTCCAAGTACCAACCCACTTCAATTCCTTGCTCCTGCGCGCCCGTCCGATCAGCGCAGTGCCAGGGGGGCCACCCGATTTCCGACCATTGTCAGGGTGAATATGTAGAACCATCATGGGAAAACGGAGGTAAAAACAAGCCAACTGCCAGCCAATCGCGAAACAAACAAAAAAAAATTGAGCGAGGACGCACGCAATAACTATCCTTTCTGGGTTGCTTGTTCATTCTCTTGCACGCTTGGCCAAGGCCGGTGAGCCTTCAAGCCTCAGGGGGAGATCAACCTTTATATCACATCATACATCAACTCCAACAACCTGCGGCCCTGCGGATTGGGGCAACACATGAATCCGCCGAACCTTTCGCGCCTGAACCTGCCGACGCGAACTAGTCTGATCGGGCTCTTCTCGTGAACTAGTCTGGGCAAAGCATCCACCTGATCCGACCGTTCCGCGCTCGTTCGTGCCCAAACTTCCAAGCCGGATGGAGAACAACCGCAGCGAGGTCCTGAGAGACTGAATTCACCTGGAATCCAAAGCACCGGTGTCTTTTACGGCGCGCCACTCGCCGAACTGATGGCCGGTGAGATCGGTTGTAGTTCTTTTGTGTTGGAACAGTGGATGGTGCTCTTGACCGAGGTTCATGATGCGTGTCTCAATCAAAACGATGCCTGGCATGTTCTCATGTTCTTGGGGTTGCTCCTGCTGATGTTTGACACATCCATGTCTGGCCCAAGATCCATCGACCTCACCTCTTGGGGTGCCGAACAGCTCAACATAACACGGCTCAATGAATTGCGGAACCCTGACAAACACTGCTGGATCGGAATTTGCAACTCATAGCTTGACCTTGAATAGCTCTCCTGAGCTGGGCCAGGGCCGGCAAAGGAGGCGATGCTCAAGGGTGCCAAAGGAGAAGACAAGTCAAGACCAAACCTAGGCAGCTGGGCCATGCCAGGGATCGTTTCGGATCCTGTCATCAAATCGGCAGGCTTGACAGGACTTCATCCCACATCCAAACACCAAACCTCAAGAGTAATGTGCTTCTCTCTCTGTCCCTCTCTCTCTCTCTCCATATAGTGCTGTAGGGCAATGGACCAATAGTAGTAAGGTAGAAAGCAAGGCTTTGGTGGCACATCCTTTGCATTGCATAGGAAGCACTGAAGGATTTATGCATCGGACGTCGAGGGTCAATAGTTGTTTGCACATGTCTTTAACGTCAAAATATGACTGAACCACTGAGGACCCCATGGATAGCCCCACCGTAATCATCACAAATGATCCACAAAGGTATATTGATAGTACATACTATTGCACACCTCTAGTCTGACTTGAAGGAACCATCCGGTGCTTCCAATCCAATGCGTCTCCTCTCAGTCCCAAGTTGCTCGCCAATCTCATCTCCAACCATTCGGCCCACACCCTGTTCATCAGCCTGTCAGCACAGTCAGCGCGCGATGTGGCTGTGTGTCAGACCCCTCATGCGCGGATCGTCATACCTAATCACTTCCATGCTGCTGCTACTTGCTCCACGGAAAATAGCGTGAAGGTGAACCCATGGTCCCCCATCGCCTCATGCGAGTCCAGTCACAACACGACCAGTGAGACCGACCAGTGGTTGAGAACTGGGCAGGGCGCCGTTGTCAGCAGACTCACAGCAAAAGATTGAACATGCCCAAACACTCCATGGGACTGCCATATGTGCTTACATTTCGGGTGGTTTGGGGGGGTCAATGTAGGCATATATGGCATACATGGAGTGTCTGGTTATTTCCTGATGGGGATCTTTGCAGTTGGTGGCATCTAACATCAGAGCGCCGCTTGTGAAACAAGGTTGCTTAACAAACTGGTCAATCCAACATGAATCCATGACCTGTGAATCAATCAGCTAGTTCAAGACTTTTGGCTCCATAAAGAAAAGGCCTCGAGCAACAGCGGCTGGAACTCTTCTGCGGGTTTTTCCACTGTCCCAAGATGGCCCTTTCATGTAGCCCTGGTTTGGGTAAAAACATGGTTCTTCTGGTCCTTCTCTGGAGGCGTAAGTTACCCTTTACTGCTGGTAATTGCAATGTCGCTCTACTGGGAACCTCGGTAGCATTCCAGGCCTCCGTGGTTCCTGCCGCATATCTCACGTGCTTGCTGCTGGGCGTGTCCAAACAAATGGCTTTGCAAATCCGGCCCTGGCCGTTCTTGGAGACCGGAATTGACCGGAATTGGAGAATCTACAGGTGGTGTTTTCAAGCCACCTGAAAAGTATCCCGTGGATCCATCATTCCAGCTTGACAAAACACATCGAAAGCACCAGTCTAAGTTTAGTCATGGGACAACCAAATCATGTTACTCACAGTGATGTTTCCAGAAAATGTTCTCTCTACATCATCACCCAGGAAGAGGAAGCATGGCACCTGGAGTTCCATTGGTGTTTGCGAACCTCTCACTCCCCCAAACGCACCTCTATCACTCGAATGGCTTGTATACTTATCCCCTAATTATGTGAAGAATAAAGCATCATGGAACACGTGTGATGTCGTGTGGGCCAGATATTGGCAGATTAAATCAGCACAACCATCAGATTTCGTCAAAGTCATCGAGTCATCACCAGCACCAACTGATATACAGTAGTACATATAGATTGCGAGTAGATGGCAACGACCCCAAGAGCTGGTTTTGTATGAAACCCCATGTAAAGAACATAAGAACATCTTGAGGTCTGTACCATCTACTTCTTGAAACAGCTGTATAGAAAATGATCTAAGGCAGCCTACCCTGCCCAGCGCGGCGCGCACATCGAGCACCCGTCCACTCTCGTGGATTCCTGGAAGGCGGCGAAGCGCGGCAAGTCGTCCAAGCTGCGATGGTCAAAAAGCCCTGAACGACAGCAGCTGTGGGAGCAGGTTGAGATGCTATATGCTGCTATATGGGAGCATATGGCATAGATTGGATGTTCTTCAAGTGATTTGCTTCAGAAACTAAGCCAAACATCTATTCGCCGGAAGGCGGGGGGTTCACCGACAAAACAGCCAAACATCACCTGAGGCTCCAGTCCCACATCCTCAAAAGGTATAGGTAACTGGCACTCTGAGGATGGGCTTGGAGCTCTAGGGACTAAACCTTAAATCCTGAAGAGAACATAAACTTACCTTGGCCCGTGCTTCCTGTGACCTCTATAATAGTTGTTTTATCTATAACATGCATGGTATATATCTAATCTATGCCATATGCTGGCTAGTGATCGATGATGGCCGGTACAGTAAGTACAACAAGTGGAAGGTCTTTGCAAGGTACATAAACAACAAAACTCAACAGCAAAACCTTGAAGTCTGGGAGACGGTCACAACAACCTCAAAGGCATGCAGCAAATAAGCCTGAGCTAAGGGATCTTTATGGATATTTCACATTGCCATCAAAGGCTTGGTGGTTCCCAACGGGTTTCTCATCCCAACCGTACGGTGCCGGGCAAGTGTGCCATCCGATCCATGTTCCAAATCGAAAGGTCCGAGAAGACCGAAACGTATTCCAGTTCCGGGCACTGGAAGACTTTAAAACAAACTAGGCAAACAACATGGGAAACCAAACTGAGGACAGCATCAAACTTTGCATAACGCAGCCTTCATATGGTCAGCTCCTGCTCCACAGCCATTGGGATTTCCTCCGGCTTAGGACCTAAGCCGGAGGAAATCGAATTGGCTGGCCTGTCTCTGTTCGATCCGTCAGTGGTCTCGCCATGTCCTTCGGTGACCGCACACCGCCCTTGTCCCGCCGCCGTTTTCCGCGGTTTTCCGCGGAAAACCGAGCTGCTCTGGACCGGTTTTCTCAAGTCCGCCCGCTGCTTCTCCCGATCCTCGCGCGAGCCGAAAACGAGGAGAGATTGACGCTCCCGAGACGCTCCAGGTGGGTCATGGCACCGGGTCATGGCTGAACAGATTCCTCTTGAAAGGCATGTGTGTGTGTGTTTCACCGAATCCATGGGGACGGCTGCGGGAGATTGGGTTCCTCATAGGCTTCACATGTGGCATGCCGAGCATATTTTCGAACCCGCAGTCCGTGGGATCAACCGTGAACCACTCCAATGCATGCAAATATATATGGCACACATGGCGTGTCTGGGAACTTGTCTGGGATAAATATGAGTGCTTTGCACTCGGGCAATGGAAACAGCAATGGCCAAGTTGGTTTCACCTCTTTTTGCCTGTCTTCTCCGATCCTTATTTTTCTCATTTCGTCACGTGGTCACACCCTATAGTCACTGCAATCGATTAGTTCAGGTGGTTCAGGTGAACATGTTCCCACGACCGGGAATAACTACTGCACCCCTACACTTGCACCTTCCCATTTTGACGAAGAGAAAAGTGCAACGCAGAGCAGTGTGTAGCGGCGGAGTGTGCAGAACCCGAACATGGAAGGATTCTTGTTCTATCTGTGCATGTCACTGCGGCCGGACATCACACTCACATCGGGCTAAGTGAGAACATGACTACTGACTATATTATACCTACTTAGCAAGTCTCACAGGTCCTATGATACAATACCAAGCCATCAAGAATTACTAGACTAAATGCTGGTATCACTGCTGGTATCCTAGGTTCAACCACCAGCCCCTGCGAAAACAACAGCATGTGCCGTGTTTCGTTATCCAGACTGGAGTTCCCATCCAGACTTCCATCCCTCCAGGCAACAAAGCCCTACAACAAATAACATCAAATAACAAAAGTGTCATTGAGTCAATTGAAAAACACCGGCGCGGCCCTGGCAACATGACATGGACCCAATTTCGGTACAACCATGTACCAAAAGCCCTAAGGCACGCGCTGCTGCGACCAATGCCCAAATCGGGTGCGCTCCTTGCTGGAACGATCGAACCAGTCAATCAAGTACGTGCCATCATCACCTGTGAAGAGGAAGAAAAGCACGCGAGGCAGCATCCTTGACCCTCCCATGGGACCAGACCATCCAATGTCGGACCGGCCGACCATCCCATGGGACCAGACCATCCAATGGGACCGGCCGACCATCCAATGGGACTGGCCGACCATCCAATGGGACAGGCCTAAGTAATTCCATTGAAATGGTTGAGAAGGGGTTCAATGAAGGCAGCATCTTCCGTTACATGCATGCTCTGGGATATACAAATCACCACTTCGCTCACAAAAGCCTTCATGGTGAGGGGCAACCTTTATCACTATCACCTCTAGAATGCCCAACATGATTCTGACGTTCCTATACCTGGATCTCCCAACTATGCAACATGTTCGCCCAACTGGGCTGGTTCTTGGCATAAATGTGTCACAGTTGGAAGATCCAGGTCGGTTTCTGGGTGCAAAGCGGATGGAACATATAGACCTGGCAGCCCACGACATGGCCACGTGTTCCGTCCAGATGTTACAAACGACATGTAAGGCGGCACCCCAAAAGGATGCCCGGATGGAGGGCATAGGACTTCTCAGCCCCCAAACTGCGCATCCTCAGCAACCATTTTTCCAGGACGAAGAAAGATGGCGCGCTTCGTTTGCGCAGTCTGCTTGATTCTAGTCTTCTAGTCTTCCATCAGCCAAAGCCCTTCCACCTTGCAGTGTCCAACTCAGGCTTCCCATATCTTCTCATCCTGGAAGTGGTTTCTTATGGTTTCATCGTGCATCATCTCATCCATCTCAGCTGAGGTCCCACTCCCCCTCCTCCCTCCACTCCTCCCCTCTCCCTTCAGCCCGAAGGACGCACTTCCGCCACGGTAGCTCGGTAGAAGACGCCGTTGCACTTGGCCTCCACTTCTTCGCCCACCGAAGGCCAGGTCGAAGGCCTCGAGCGAGGAAAGCGCAGCGCGGATCGCAGCGAGCGAGCAGCGCCAGTTCGAACGAGCACTCGAACGAGCACTCGAACGATTCCCCGATTAAGAAGCCACGTCTTCGGGAGCAAGAATAAGTCATGAAAACGCCTGAGAACGTTGGAACGTTCATTGATCTGAGATCGATTCCTCTTGGTGAGGATGCGCATGAAAAGCAAGCAATGAAGTATGCAGTTGCTGCGCGTGCCTTTGAATTCACAGGGAGAGCACGGGCCCCCGCTCTCACCACAATCTACTAAAAAAAGAGAAGAACATGCGTCCACCTTCCAAGGTGCTGTTGCTCAGTCGCGCCCAAAGCTTCTTGAGTATCCAGGTGAACAATCCATTTACCTGCGCTCGGGCCGCATTGGAACATCCCACGTACTTTCCCTTGAAGTCATTTCTGCGAAGGCCCAGGCTTCTGCGGAGTAGTAGACTGTTAAGCCCCCCAACACACCCCCAAAAAGGACTGGTTTCATAATGATAGGACAAGTGGATGTGGCCACTGGATGAGTAACTATGTAAAGTCGATGCATTTGGAAGCCAAACATCCTCAAACCATCCATTTTCATTTGCAGACTTGCGAAGACATGTGAAGACTGGCCCATACCTGATCCTGGAATGAGACAATGTTCAAGACATGTCGCAGGAACGCCAGCTACCCAAAACCCCTTCGACATCTTTAGACTCTTTACGGTCTGAGGCGTACAAACCTGCAATGGCTACACCGAAAACACAGCTGGGACAGCTGGTGCTCTAGAAAACCCAGAATTCTCGTTCCATGTTAGAATATGACTCTGGCTCTTTAGCTCCGTCCTTGGCACTGCGAGTGAGGCCGAGGAGAACCCGCGACCCCGCCGCGTCCGTTTGACGCCTTCTTCGCGTTCCAAGACGGTGCCCCAGACCTTGTCACTTCCGCCTGCGGCGAAGCAGGACTAGGTCAACGGCCAACGGTTTGACAAAAGGTCACAAACCGGTCAAACTGGTCAACTAGTTTGGCTGACTAGGTCAACTGGTCAACGGTCAACTTGGTCAAAAGGACATTTAGTCAAACCGGTCAACGGTCTCGTGCAGGACTAGGTCACCTGGTCAGCTGCCTTTGCACTTCGTCAACGGTCATCTCTCAGTTTGGGTGGCATGATTGCCATGGAAGCACTGCACTTTTCGAGGGGTGCTGGATGATGTTAGTCTTCATTCTGAACTGTTGAGATGTGCAACCCTAAAACTCACTCAAATTGCGGTGATGGCCATGCTCTACAAGCCGCAAAAAAGGGAAACCGTGCTACAGCTTCTTTTCTCTGGCGTAGGTTCCAAAACCCATATGCCATATCCAAAGACTTAAAAAATGCTCACGAACGATGCAAAAAAATGTGGCATATGACATATAGGTGATATTCATACTAATATGTGTGGCGGCATCTATTTGGTATAAAACTCAAATACACTATCTGTCACTATCAATTATATGCCCTATCTCGTTTAGACTACTTAAGTAGGAGGTCATGTCACAGTATCTCGTTGAGACTACTTTAGTAGCAAATCACACTATCTCGTTCAGACTGCTTTAGTGTTGTCAAGCAAAAGTATCGCGTTTATGTGGGGGCCCTATCTGGTTCACAAGCGAATACTGATGATAGACAATCAAATAGAGCATGCCGTAGTCTACTTTAGTACAGCCTAAATAAAAGACAATAAAGTATATAAAAGTGGTTGCTCATATGACATATGACCAAAGACTGATGTGTGTTCTAATTTACCGAGACCTTCCCCCAAAAACACAAACCCTTTGCTACAAAGAGCCAACTCAAAGCCAACAAACAACGGCGCTGTATCGGGGTCGAAGAGGTACAGTACCTTTTTGTCGATTCCAATCATGTGCACTCAATCCACATTATTACAGGAGATTATTCCAGGTGGTTTCAGAGTAGATAGGCACCACCCCCAAAAAGGTGTCTTTTTACAGAGAGCGCCACTAAACCACCTAACACGAGAGCACATTGATGCCATGCGCCGACTTCAGCTTCCTCCCAGATGACACGCGCCTGGCACGGCCACTTCGACGCGACTGAACTTGCCGGCACAAAGGCGTCGGAGCCCTGCAGGCGTAGCGCGTAGCTGCTGCGAGGGTCGTGAGTGATGGAAGGGGGTAGATCAAGCTGATGAGATCCTATGAGCCAGTCTGATGGAAGTGACACCAAGGCCCTGAAAGCAACATGACAAGCAACATGTGAACATCTTGCATGCGCCAATGACTTCATCTTGCACCCCCTCGGCGTCTTCCACCCCGCTCTAACTCGCCGCCTTTTCTTCCAGGCACCCCCCGCGCCTCCTGTGAACGTCCGGAAGCGTGCTTTCTGGTCCAAGGTACAACTCCTGAGAGAACTCGGACTTTGTGGTGATGGGATTAGGAGTTTCGTATCCAAGAAGGTGCAGTTGAGGTGAAGAGAGTAGATTGGGAGAAACATGGGAGTTCTCAACCAGCTTGAAAACGCTTTGGCCATCTTTTGTCCGCACAACTTGTATGCGAAGCTGCAGCCTGCTGCCCTCCATCACTACTCATCCAGCATCAACAATATCATGCAATATCTACAGTAATTGTCCCCTGCATGGTGGTGCTATTGCATGCGTGAGCGACCAGGGCGTGCCCATTTTAACCCATCACACCAAAAAGGGAATGCTTGCTTATCTCCTCCTCACTTATCTCTCTAAGTGTTTCCTTGCCGGATTCATATCTTCAATCAAATGGCTGCGTTTCGAGTTGGTTGGCCTTGGCCGGGTGAGGGAATTTGTGGCACGGGCCTATTCCGTAAGGCCCCCTTCTCAGAACAGTGGACATGGCCCTGCCAGGAAGCTTGAGGTGGGTTGTGACGTTACTTTGAGGAGGTGCATTCGGCCGAAGGGGACCTCGGATCCTTGTGTTATAAGTTCTTCTCTGGTTCACTCGCAGGTCACTGCTAATCCAGCCATGGCTGACTCGAGTCCGCAAGTCGCGCTATCTCTCTGAGTTTCTTATCTCAAAACCTTTTCTCATCTAGCAACTCTCGACCTCCCCGCTTCTTCCGCAGTAGAAGGCACCTGGAATGGAAGAAGATCTCCAAAGCATCGGCTCCATCTAGATGGACTTCCTGTGGAAAATGCGCCAAAGGACTCAAACGACTGCTGCAACCATCCAAGTCCTTTTGTTCTCGCTCCGACTATCAGCAGTTAAGCAAGTCCGTTGATACTTCAGAGATTGGATTCGGGATGATCCATGCAACCAGCTTCAACTAGCCGACCTCATGTCGATTAAACTCCACATCATCTAGCCGAGCATGGCTTTGTCTCCTTGCCAACTGCCCCCCTGACTCGACCCCTCCAGCGGCAGCGTCCGTCCGTTTTGGTCGTTCGTCGCGCGCCTTCCGCCAGCTGAAGCGCTTGACGTCATAGGGATGGCTGGTCTCCAGGACCTGTCCATGACCTGACGGCCCGGGTGACCGGCGCACTGGGTCATGGCACTGGTGACCTGTGCTTCCCACCAACCCGTCCGAACGCTCCGTTTAGCTTGCGATGCTAGGAGCCCCGTTCGAGTCGCGTCCAAACACTCCTAGCAGTATGGCCAGGAGCCCCTAGTAGCTTGTTCCCAAGGATGAACAGAGACCACCTGACAGCGGTGCTGTCCGGGCCCCAAGTGACCCAGGGCGCAACCGTCTGTCCTACCAAGCATGTATGGCCTCGCACGTACGTCAGGGCACCAGGGCTCCACCACGACTCCAGGACTTGACCAGAAAAACCCTCCCAGCTGCGTAGTCACTCTGGCAAGGGAGGTGGTCACGAGCTGTGATGAAGAAGCATGTGACGAATGGATATGTGACGAATGAAGACGTTGTGTCCGGTCCGTTGCTATGCCCGAGATTCCTTGCAAACATGCATGGGCACAACCCACTATTTTATTGGGGCAATCGGTGTAGCCCCTTGACCATCATCACAAAACTGAAACCCACAGAATTCGAGCTCCAATCAGCCAGGAAGCTTAACCCTGCTTCCTCTTTCAGCACCTTTCTCATCTGTTCCAAAGCCTCGGACCAAAGCTCCTGACAGCGGAGGGAGCACACCCTCAAGTCCCACCCAGTTTGGGTCCACTCTGTGCAGTACACCTTGGAAGACGATCCCAAGGACCCTGAAGCTCACTGGTTGGTAGAGGAAAACACTCTCCCAGGGGGCCACTGTCAGGGTCTAATGTTAGTTTTCGGGAGTGTACGGCGCAGGGTAACATGAACCGTGATGAACATGACACCAAGTAAGACATAGTAAGACCATTCTCATCCACCACCTAGTAGTCTTCAGGGTCCATCTTGCAGGGTCAGGTCTGCTTGTGTGTGGGTCTGAAGGATTGGGGTCCAACATCGTGGGCTCTCAATCTATGAATTATACATAAACACAATGGTATATGCCATATACGCCGGGTGGCTTGAGGGGTGAATGTAATTAGGTCAACATCTCCTGGTGTTTGGGATGTTCAGAAATGAATCCGGACCCTCCTGGCACCTATATAACAGCGTCTCCAATCACCTTCTCAGAGGGTGGCAGTGGATCCAAGTAAAAGGTTCTAAACAGCCCGTTGATGCATCCAATCCAACCAGCTTACCTCTTCACCCTTCCCTTCTCCCTTCTCACGAGACCTGCTCAAGAAATCTGTCCCTGTATGAAACAATTTCAATGTTTATCCATATAACTGAGGAATCACTGTTGTACAATGCTGTACATGCTGTACATATATTTGTGACAATCATTGCAACAAGAGTCCTAATCAATGAAGCCAGGTGTTCACCTTACCGGCCAAATACATTGCCACGCTGGACGCTGGTGTATACTGATGTTCTACATCTCTTTCTCCGCCCTGTTGTTGCCATAATTTTCCATGTGGGTGCCTACATTGCTCCACTACAGTACTTGCTGCCACCCGTGTCCCTTCGTTGCCGCGACTTCCCCTCTCGGTCCTCAGCGGAGCCCAAAGCGGAGCCCAGCTTGGGCCACTCCGCCGCCAGCGTGGCGTGGGAACGACGGCGAAAGACCACCGCTTGCCCCGCCGAGTCCTGCAGAAGCACAGCCCGCGGAGGAGGGCGACGACCATTCTGCAGCTGTCTGCACCAGTGTGTCTGCGCGTGTTCTGGGTGTATGGGTGGGTTGGGGGATGGAATGGCAAGCTGGATCATTGAATGGAACAAATCATCAGCTGCAGTGCATGCAACAAAGGCACAAAATGCTCCAACCCCCAAACCATCCCAACCCCCCCTTTGGGTGTCCCTAGATCCGTGAATCAGAGCTGAGCATCCAGTGCATCAGTCACAGGCCAGGATTAATATATGTGTTCGGATGCATAGTCCGAGGCATCCTCAACAAGTAGTACATCGGTGATCATCCACAAGCGTCACGTGGAAGCGTCCTGCCCCTGGAGCTTTTCGAGCAAAGAAACCATCTGCTCCTGGCACGGTGCTCCCTTCGTTCTGAACAAAAGAACGGAGCTGGGCTGGTTCTATCTGGGATAATTCCATGCTTAGCAAGCTTCTTTCTCTCTCAACGACCGGCGAATATATAACTCATAATCAACAGATCTGTCAAGTGCTAGTGTGGCACGGTGAAAACGGTGTTTGGGATTTGGGAATACGAGGAATACAAACTAAGGCTGGGGTCATGGTGGGGAACGTCTGTGCTTCTTTGCAGGGCCTACTCTAACATGTTCCATGCAAAGTTGTAGCTTCTGCTTCGAAGGAGGTTCCGGGTCCCGAACCTCGCGCGCAAGCAGAGCCCGCTGAAACATCCACCTAAAAATACGAAAGCTCTGCAACAAAAGAACGGTCCTGATACCAGGACCCGCAAGGGGTGGTTAATGGACACCCCTTAAGCTTTAACATCCTTAACCCCTTGGAGGGTTCTGGTAGTATTCTGATAGTCTTTAGCACCATTCATACGTGACGTGTTCGCATGAACAAACTTCGACATGTCTAGCTGGCACTCCCCACAAATGCACCCGCTCGTTGGGTCGTTGTTTTGCCGCCTCGACAAGAAAAAAGAACCGTCCACCCTCGCCGGCGCCTCGCTGACGGGCGCTTCGGAGCTGCAACTGTCCAACCTGCTCTGTGTGGTGTCTGGGCTAGAAGTAACATCCTGGAGCTTGGGAGGCAAGAAGTTGTAATTAAGAACTCTTCACATGTTCAACTTATAACTTATAAAGGGTATGGCTTTGGGGGGTTGAGCTCGTACCAAATCCATTTTCATAAGATAAGATATACAAAACCCGTGCCTTTCCTTTCAAACTTTGGGTTTTGGGCGAAACATGGCCAAACCTCGAGCTTCCTCAACCTGTGCCCCAAAAAAGGGCGGCCCAAGCTCCTTTTTTCTATGGGCCTCCCCACGGGCTCGCAGATACCCTTTGAAGTCCAAAAATCAACGGTATTACCCAGGCACTCCATGGGACTGTCATATTTACCGATCAGTTGGGGTGGTTTGAGGGGTCAATGTAGGCATATATGACAGACATGGAGTGTCTGGGTTATATTCCAGGACCTTCAAAGTGACCGAACTTGAGATCCCAGAATGAGGTCACTTAGTCCCTAAAGGGGCGCATTTAGGAACTCCAAAGAGGTCGCGGAAATTTTCCTCGATATTGGCCACCACTGAAGTAAAGGGCATTCCTTTTCGGGGCACTATGGATATAGATGGATATAGTCTTGCACTCCCAGGTTTGACGTGTTTTGAGACTTGACATCTCTGGAGCATGTGTAGCATTCACAGTCTCAATTTCCCTTTGCACAATTCAACGCCTCAGGTCTTGCTTGAAAACGATTGAACTGAACACCTCAAAAATCCCAGCACACCCTATATAAGCATATATAAACTGCTAAAGTTATTCAGTAGTTATTACCTAAAACGTGTTGAGAGCGCCGTTTGGCCCGAAACGCACGAATGGAAGTCGGTCCAGTCCAGTGCACCGGAACGGGGCTCCCCACGATCGGTCCCAGCACTCTTTGCAAAGGTCGTAGTCGCAAGGGCCCGAGCACCGGTAGTCGGTGCCACTCTTCCCGCACAGATCACCTGGAGTGGACATCGGATGGTGGTGGGTGGACGCCGGGGGCCCTGGAGATGTGTTGGAGGAATGGTGAGGTTCTATCACGGTCCACTCACCTAGATGGAACTTGGGTGGATCTGGTGCTTGGTGCGTGTGAAGCAGAGGTCGTCCTCCAAGTCGTCTTAGTGACGACCGCAGGACTGCTTCTATTACAATAGTTACGATCGAATCATGGAAGCGGAACATAGGCCACTGGGGTCTTCCATTTTTCCTCTCCAAGTGGGACCTGGTCAGCTTCCATGGTCTGTCACAGGGAGGGTGAACACAAAATACAGTATATAATAATCATATATAATCCCTATAGAGCTCCAAACATAGCCTCAGAAGGTGGTTAGACCCCCAAACCCACCCCAACCACCTTCTCAGGAGGTAGTTGGATCCCTATAGGGAATGTTGGAATATAGCACCGCTCACAGTAGCTCAAGGATGCTCAAGGTCCGTGAAGATCCACCATGCTGATCAGGCTTGGCCGACCTCAACCTGAAGGAAGACTGAAAATGCACAATGGATCACAATGGTAATGTAGACTGAATCTTTAAGGTAAATTGAGTGGTAAATTGGTCCATGGACCTTGTTTTCCTCTCATCACTTGATGAATAAGATCACCACTGAACCCCCCTTACCTGGATGGTCCAACATCTCCATATGAGCGTGTTGATCAGTCTACATGATTTAGCCCCCAATTGATTCAACAAACGCAGCGAGCGAATCAAAAGGGCGACCAGGAACTCATTTCATTCTCTACATCACTGATTCGCTATCGATCCAGGTGATTGGAGGCATTTATTGTAGGTGCCAGGAGGGTCCAGCCGTACTGAACCTGAGAAAGGTGGCAGTGGATCCCCAGATGTTGTGGTGCATGACTTCTTTTCTCTCCCTCACGGGCATTGATGGAACAGCCGAGCCAGCCCCCCATCATCCAAACTCATAGCATAATTAGCCTTCTTTCGCACATGAAATCCATCCCTCACCCTGGCCCGCCAGCCCTGGAGCTTCCCTTTCCTTCACCCCTACGGGCCCTGGAGAAACCGGTCTGGCCCAGTTGCAGCGGTGGCTTCCGCGCTTATCCGGCTTCAAGCCGTGGCCCAGCGAGCAGATGGGCCGGGGCTTCCAAGAAGACACCGTCTGCGGGCGAGCCGTTCACGCAGTGACCGGTGGTGTCAAAAGTGCCGAAAACGGGTCTGGTCAAATGACTTCCGCAAGGCACAGATGTTCAGAATGACTTATTTTGTATAGAGAGTATACTAAACTTTTGGTTGGGTTGCTCACTGAACATGATTTGCCAGGCGGTGACTCCACCTCCAATTTTGGACTTGTAGACTGATGTAGACTGAGTCGGGTGAGTCTTGCCCTTGCTTGGTGCCTTAAGGTGTATGCTTTGTTACTTGTAGGTTCTTGTCTGGCTTTGGATCCTCAGGAAGTCCAAAGGGTTCCCCTCGTGTGACCTGGACACCTGGCCTCAGGTGTCTGACCCCAAAATGCTCTTTCAGCAGCGTTGGTTGATGGGGTTCGATTTTGCTGCCAAGAATGGTAGATGGACCCAACAAACGATCAACATAATTATACCCCCCTCCAACAATCATGGATGTGGACAATGGTCCCTGGAAAGTCAATGTTCTTCTACAAACAGGGGATTGTCCACTTCCATGTTTGTTGGGAGGGTGCTCCTGCTCCAGCCATCTCGATCACTCACACAAAACCACACCAAGCACGACCTCTCGCCTGACGAAAGACGTCCAGTGGCAGAAATCCCCAGGACTCTTCTGGTGCTTCCCATCCTTGGAAATGGACGCCGCAGGGTGCATTTGAACATAGGGAGACAGGCAGTCAAGTTTGATATCTTTCCCTGAACTCGGAGGTCGAACTCGGAGGCCTCCCTACTTCCACACCTACAAACACCACTCCACTGATCGACGGAACGGCAGGCGCGCCCGGGTCCGACGGTCTCGACTTCTCCGGGCGTCCGCCACGTGGGGGCTCTTCCACCCCGGGCAAGGCCTCCAGTTGCTCGGGTGCACGGTCGGCGGCGGCGAGGAAAAGGCCAAAGCTTTGGTGGGGCGCCCATGGGTGCCGCTTCTTGAGAATCGGTGGCGCTGCTGGTGTCACCGATCTTTTGGGGGGCCGTATGTGTTTCCTTTCTTTTGTGTGTTTTATTGATTTTGTTCCAGCTGCCTGCTGCTGGGTGCTCCTTTTGCCCCCCTTAGGATCCATGGAGATCGAACGGCTTGCCCCGCGGCGTCGTTCAAGCAGAACGAAGGTCCGCTTGCCCCGGCGGAAGAACGAAGAATCTTCAAAACAGGTCTGGCCTTCCCAAGAGATGGTTGAGTGACCCTCAACAAGGTGCCAAAAATTCCCTGGGGCGGTATACCTGGCACTGGATAGTCATGGATCGTCTATAGTCCGAAAAGGGTTCTGCAAAAACCTCTGTGGGTCATTTGGCTGATTTATCAAAATTCTTACCCACCCGCCATTAATCATGGAATCATGGAAGTGGATGGCTTGGCCCGAGAGGGAAAAACAAACAAGGGACAATCATCCACTTCCAAAAGACTTATTGCAAGAAGGGGTGGCAGGTATTCGCAGCCCAAAGCACTGCGTGCATCCTTCCGGTGCCTTTTTCAGAGGTGAGCATGTCATTGTGAGTCTTCCTCTACATCCTTTCTTGTGTGCAGCCAGCAGCATGGCCAGATCGTCCGGTCTCTCAGCTGGAAGCAGGCTCCGTAGGTGTGGAAGATTGTGGAAGTGTGGAAGCATCCAGAACTGTGCCTCAGCTCGAACCTGGCGAATGGTCTTGGCGCCCATAGTTCCGGCCCATTGGCGTCTCGCCTAGTGGCGACGTCTCTGCCCAAGCCACAGCTCATGTGGAGCAGTGGAAGCCCATCAGTTTGAACCTGGGAGAGGCCTTGAACCTTGGACTTCCGGAACCGCGGGGTTCCGTTGCCCATGTGTCGGCGGCAAAGGGAGGGGCCACGAGTCAAATAGGCATATCGTAGTCAGATGTAGTCATGGGTGTGCCGTGCTCATCTGCGCGATTCTGTCGGATGTCAGATTCATCAGTGCTTCATCACTTTGGGTGACCGGAAACGATTGCTTCACTGGCGGTGCCAGCTGCGGCCCTTGGTGGCGTTGCGAGTGGTGGCGTCACTTGGCACAACATTATACCCTGAGAGTCCAAGACCTTTTTAAACATGGCTGGCTTGGTTTTGCAGAAAAGTGTTTTGGGTCTACTTGCTGTGTCAATTTGGACCATTGCCTTATCACATCTGAGAAAATCAGAGGTGAGCATGGTCCCGCTCTGGTGTGGACCCTCGTGTGTGGCTCAGCAACCCTGTGGAGTGAACCAGTGGCATTGGGCAGGCTTGGCCCATGACTTCCTTAACTTCAGGTCATGGAGACCTAAGTCAACAGTTTATCATCACGACGGCAAACCATCGGCTTGATTCAAATTCTTCGTCACCCCGCCTCTTGTGCCGAAATGAAACGACATCATGGTTTGCTTAAGCATGGATGTCCGGAAAACACATCTACAGTGGATTCGACAAGGGGGGAGGTAGCCATAGTTCGTTTTGCGGATGAACTCCTGCACCAGCATGGCACTCTTGAGTAATAGACCTCCCCATAATATCGCCCTTATATTGCCATATGAAGAGGTATTTCACTCCAAATAAGGCTTTGAATCAAGACGTTACACCACTGGGTGAGATCCAGTTTCAGCATGATGCCACCGCCTTCGGTGCCCAGTTCCAGGCCTTTTCGGAGTTCCAACACCCCTGCCTTGGCGGTGAACAAGCAATCGTCTTCGGCAGCGCACATCTGCCAGAGTCCAACGCCTGGCCGCGGGCCGTGGAGCGGATTCCAGAGTGCGGTCCCCCAAAAAGCCATTGAATGGAACCCAACAAGTCCAAAGACCATTCAAAGACCATTCGATCAAATGGAACCCAGTAACTGGTATTTTACATCCTTAAGGTGTGTTTGGGTCATGACCACGTCTGGTAAAATGAGGTCATTGGCCTGTAGGGAACCCAGTCCTAGCGTATAGGGCTCCAGTCCTAGCTCCATTTCGGTGGCTTGGGGTGGATGGGTGAGCTTGGAGTGTCTAACTACCTTCTAGGGATGGGGTTGGAGGTGTAGGGCACCTGTAATTCAGTGGGCTTGACTTGGAGACTTCCCAGCACCGCCGCTGCAATGAAATGCCCAAGAAGGGGGGTCACAAATGCATCCCAGAGCATCAGGCAGGAAGCCAATTTCCGCAGAAACAGTTCTATTGCCTTGAGTGATTTCTCAACTCTCCCCCACTGCCCCCACTTCGTCTTTTCACACATGCTCCAGCCCCTGCCAGCTCCGCTGGGATCCTCCAGCCGAGTTGCTGGGATCGAACTGGATCTTCTGCCCCGCCTCTCCTGGGAGCGCGGTGGGAGCACGGCGGCTGGGAGCGCGGCGCGGCTGTTCGAAGAAACCGCGCGGTCAAGCAAAGACTGGGGCCGCGGATTGAACACACAAGTTGGAATGGGGCGTGTATTTGAGAGGGGGTGCTCCAGGTGTTTGTCCATTTTGGGTCGCAAACTTTGATGCACATCCACATCGAGAAGCACCATAACAAGAAGGGAAACAACATAGGTTCTTGCCCGGTCCTGCCTTAAATGTCAACATGATCCCTGAAACACCACATGTTGACATCATTTACCTTGAACCCTCTTGGACACGATGATCTCTGAAACACCTTGACCCTGCAATCGGTGGATAGGACCCGAGGCAATCCCAACTTGGATTTGCTTCAGGGCCTCACTGGAAGGCATTCCTAAACCATGAGACCATGTGGTTATACCGAATCAACGGCACAGCGTTTACTTCCCCATGAAAAATCATTAAAATTTGAGCGGTAGCTCCAGGAATACTCCTGGCCTAACCTCAAGAAGGAAGTCCCAAGTGCCAAGAATAGCTTATCACCTTAGCAAAACGACCGTGCAGCCAAGCTGGATGGCGAATCATGAATCATACTGACTCCCGTTCGCCGCAAAACCCGAGAAAACACACAGGTTTGCCCGAACTGGTCCGCCTGTTTGCACCCATCCTGCCCTGTCCGCTCAGGCGACACTGCAGACACACTGGTCGTGGCAGTGGAAAATAAAGAAACAGAACCCCAATGAAGGAACCGCAAAGCGAATTAGCATCCACATCACGAACACGAAAACAAAGGAAATTGCAAAGTTTTCAGCGTGCGAGCACCACCCTCAAGAATAAGCCCAGCAAATTTGTTCAACTCATGTGTAGCAAAAAGAGGACGAGCACCCTGAATGACCCGGATACCATGTATGTCTTGGAAGCTTTCCTACCAAATCGAAAGCAGCCTTCAGCTGCTTTACCATGTCAGCAAGCGTTTTACCGTCAGAAACACACTGCAGGGTGAATTTCCGAGTGACGAAGAGAAAGCCGATCTCAACATAGGCAACCGAATCCTGTGCAGCATCCCTCATAGGGTTTGTTCCCAGTGGGGGTACAAAATCACCCAAAAGGATGTTCAAGGTTATCCATTAACTGGCTCATAGTCCCATAGTCCCATTTACGCCAAGTCTCCCTTGTACAAGGGCATCTCTCCATGTGCGCCCATACGCTCATACTTTCCAGCCACCCGCGCAGGGCCAGTCACTCGCACCGCATAAGACCTGATGGGCGAGCGCAGACCACGGAAGAGCGAGGTGGTTCTGGGGCGAGGCAAGGGATCAACATCAGTTATATACGTTATTTTATAGATTATAAATGATTCCATTAGATGTTTGTAGTCTGAATATACCGGGACGTTGGAAATATTATATAAATATTAGCACGTGCCAACCTAAGGTGGCAAATGTCCTGGACACTTCAGCTATCTTCAGCTGTTTCGTGCAGGACGGCCTCAACTGGTCTCTATAGTTGGCGCGGTCGACGTTGCCGCAAGAAGGAGCTTAATATTCTTGCACCCGGTCCAGATGGTGAGGGCTCGGTATATGTGTTTAATTGTGTTTATGTCAACCGTCCGTCCTTGGATTTGCATCGTGGACCATTCAACCACATTCAACTACCCCCCTTCAAGTCACTTGAGCCCACAGCAACTAGAATAGAAACATATAACTTATTCATCATCTGAGCTGTTCGAAAAAGAACACATGTACATTGGATTAGGAGAATTTTCACGATCTTTTCAGCCAACATGACCAGGCTCGCACCTGTTGGTTCCTCCTGATGTCTCTTTCTCATCCATCCGATGGCTCCGATGGCTCCTCCGCCGCTCCCGCTGGCCTCTGAGTCTTGGGCACTTCGCGATACTTGCCTCGCTCGTTCGAGCCACGGGCTTCGACGGATCCGGCTCCAGATCCCGCGGTGCACACGGGCGGGGTGGTGAATGGACGACACCCCGGGCCCCGGGCCCTCCTCATAAGGGCTATAGGATTCAACACCCCCAACCAGGGCGTGGTGAAATAGATATGGCTCAAAATGAGGATCACCCCCCCAAAGCCAGTTTGTCAAACAACTCCAACGATTCCGAAGCGGATTTGTTCTGCATATACTCGCAAGATGTGAACCAAACACACTACACCAACTCCGCCCCAACCACACTCGAAATGGCATACAATCTTGAACTTCTTAGTGTTCAACCCCCTCTCATCAGCAATTCACTCCCACAAAAAGCCTCCATGGACCAAAAACGCGGAGTTCAAAACGTCCCAAGAGCTCCAAAGACATTCCTGCTGGCTGCCCACTGCATTCACTCCTCCTCTGGTGCCCCGGCTGGCCGCCACCAAGCGTTGCACGTGTTTCTTCAGGTTCACTTCCCCATGGATCTGCACCTCCTGGAAACACAGAACCAGACTGGCCACGTGAAGCGGACGGCGAAGGGGCCTGGGTGAAGGATGGTGAAGGGGTTCAATGATGTGCTGCAGGCATATATGCCGGGGATCCATCGAATCTCTGGGATATGTTTTGTTGCCCCCTTCGGTGGGTCTCTTTGACCCGTTCTTGCACACAGCGGTATGCTCAGCGTTAATGCTGCAGCCTCGACTCTTTGGAAGGGGTTTGCGAATTTTGTATTTATACCGGATTTGGTATATATCTTCATATATCATATATCCCAATATATCTTATACCCTAGGGCTCCAAACACATCCTTAGAAGGTACAGTAGCTGGACAATCCCAAACCCACCCACCCACCCCAACCACCAAACCGAAGCAAAGATAGTTGGAGTTGGAGCCCCTAAAGATAAGGGACCTCTACAGCACAGGAAACCCATGGTTGTGGGAGTGAATGCCATGGCGTCCTGTAGATGTTCCCTTGCACAAATCAATAAACATATAATCCAGGACCCTCCAACAGGTGTCTATGTATAGCCCCTTAGCTGTTAAGGGGTGTCCATTAACCACCCCTTGGGGGTCCAGGTCCTGGATCATCTTTCGCTTCCTTTTGCTGGACCCAGTTTCCGCGCAGAATCCCAACCACCATCTTGAACCCTTTTGATATCAGGTCTAGACCGGAGTGCCTGGTCTAGACCGGAGTGCATGGTCGAGCTCGGCCCGTGATTGACGGCCCATCACCCCACATGGGTCCAAGTCGAGCACCCGTCTTGTGGCAGCAATGAACAGTCCATCAGGACCATTTGGTCTGGGGTCGGGTAATCCATCCGACTGGGCTTCACTCTAGCACCACTGTGATGACTTCCGGCTGTGGGGAGACTGTCACCAGGAAGGTCAACCGGTTGACCTACCTGGCGCCGGTGGACCTACCTGATGTCGGTGGAACATGGTGGGTCACGATAGCGCCATCTGTTCACCAATCCGCAATGGACCAGTGAACCAGCCTGGGGTACCATCCTTTCGCTGTCCGTTTGGCGACCCATCTCACCAACGGGTGGTGTGGTCCCAACACGAGCATGCAAGGAACGAACGGGTGCGAGCGAACGGCCATCTAACAAAAATACTCCTTACCAGCAGTCACAAGACGAGGTGCGATCCATGGAGGTTTAGGGTGCCCGGCTACTCTACTCACTTAGGGACTAAACACCACCCCTTTGTGACTCCTGGTATATCTCCTTATAGAGATCCAAATAATACCTTGCCGCAGTCGTACAAAAGCCGCGTTGGGCGACCGAGCGACCTGTTCTAAAGTTGTGCTCCGAAGGTACTCAATCACCTTCTCAGAGTATGTAGATTCATAGGGTTCAACCACTTCTAAGGATTCTAAGGCCATTTGGGCAAGGCCGTGCCCCGGCAAGCCGCAGCCGCAGCCCTGAAATCTTGATTTTGGTGAGCACATGCGAGGCAGGAAGCATCCTGCAGGTCGCTCTGACCTACAAAATTACGGATTTGGTGAGGTTGCTTTGGGCATCTTTCGGATTTTGACTCTCCTCCGACAAAGAAATTGAGCGTCTTGGGTGGAATCCTCCAAGAACTTTGCTAAGTATCCAAGTCAGTGTCAGTGTGAAAGCCACCAGCAGGGATATTCAACCCACACCCACAGGAATGGTTTGTTGAAGGACATTCCAAGGTCAACCTCACTTGGGACACATGTGCTGGTCGGCCAATACCTCAAAAACCACCTGCAATCCCCCTTGGGTCGATCCCCACCGCTTGGGTCGATCTGAAAATCATCTGATCGAAGATAATTGGAGGTGCCACTGAGATCGTTATTGATCGCTCCAGCAACCTCATGGCGCACTCGTTGAGTGGCTTCGCCACATGCGAACGAGAGCGGTTCAACCATAGATGGTAGCTTTCTACAGGGGAAGCTGCTGCAAAGCACTCTAAGTATATAAAGTTCCGCGTCTATAGGCTTTAGCTCTTACATACTCTTACCAAACTTCCAAAACTTCCAACTTCGGATCAGGATCCCTAGTCTGATCCCTTCAGTTGCTCTTACGTGGGCTAACCTACCTTCCAAACGCTGCATGCCCGCAAATCCCCGCAAAATGTGATCGGACGGATGCCACATCAGCTCGGAGCATGCTGTTGCCAGCGCTGCGTGTCCGACCAAGGCCCGGCTGCGTGTAGCAGCTTGCCTGACACCGCAGCAGCTTGCTGTGTCCTTTGACACGTGGAAAACTTGGGTCATCCTCGATCGTCGTTGGGTCTTCCAAAGGGCGATGGGGTGCGAATGCATCCGCCACACCTGAGGCGAACGGGCCATCCATGGAGGAAGCCCACGAGCGGCGAGCCATCCATCAAAGAGGTAAACTTGCTTTTCCACCATTCTCATGGCCCGCGTGGATGGGAAAATGGTCCCCTTGGATGACCATGAAATCCGAATAGGCCAACAGGTGGTTTTCCCATGGTATCGACGTAGCCGTGATTGCTCCAAAAAGATCCAAAAAGTGTGCCCGTATTACATGTTCTCCTTTCAATGCTAGTGCTGTGCTCGGATGCCCCTCAGCCGAGACCAGCTCCTCTAAACCAGAAGTTCCACGCTGTTGGGTGCCACCAGGGTTTAGGCTGTTTGGGTACCCAAGATCCACCATTGTATAATCCATTCACAGATTCAAAAGCATTCTGTATGGTTCTTTTGGAACGGCTGGAGCCACTTGTCAGATCCCAACAAACCATCCAGCTTCTTCACCCTGACGCCACCCACTTCACAGTGAAGCTCTCCGTGGCCGCTCCAATACCTTCGACTCTGCCCCCATGTTTTCTCCAAGGATTCGAGGAGAAATCACGGTGCTCCACCGAAGGTGGATGGTATTACGGTATCCACAACGCCTTGACATCAACATCTCCCCTTGGGTGTGTAGTCTCCCAGTTCGACCCCATGGAAGAAGGGAAATAGATCAAAACCCATTGGTTGAGGGTCCCATTGTTAGAATACGCACCTCGATATTGTAGGCAAAAGCTTGTAAGGAGGGCACGGCAACACCTTCTGTGACTGTTTGGTTTGAGTTCGCTGTGCCATATTGCAGGAACGGCAGCTATGCTGGCAATCAATCCGAGCAATTTCTTCCACAATCTATAGCGTTGGGCTTTGCTGGTGGACCGCAACAACAAGAACCATCTTGATCTTTATCGCTGCTCGCTGCAGGTGGCAGCGCCTCATTCTGCCTTCGACTTGGGCATCGTGGCCATCAAAAACAGCAAGGGCAGCGCCACCATCCTTGGGACGAGCACTCGCGAGCGCACCCCGCTGTCGGCGCACGAGCGCATCGAGCCTGAGGTATTGGCGGAATCTCGACTCAGGCGGGCTCCCAATGGCTTGGCACGACCAGTCAACCAGTAAGAAGTTACCAGGTGAAATATGCTTTCGGTTTGGGACACGGCATGTCCCATTGCCAGTAACAGTGGATGATGATGGTGATGATAATGATGATGCGCTTAGAAAAGGCCTTCCCCCAAATAGTGGTCATCTTTCACCGACTGTTGCTGGATGTTCCTGAGCATGGGATATACTGCCTATGGAAACAATCGATCAATGTTGGGTTTCAAGGAGGCTTTTCAAAGCTGCAAAAAGCCTGCGGCAGTCGTTGCTTTCACGGTGAGGATGACTTTTGTGAACGGATCCCACCTTCCCGACCTATAAAACGCACGTGCAGTTCAACTGAGGATCCCCCATCCTGCTTTTGTGCTGTGCCAGGGGCCCAACATGATTCTTGTTTCGGAGGTTCCATTGTGCGGAAGTAACATTCACGAAGTCCAAAAGGTTGTCGTAGAGGTTTCTGGTTCGTCATTGGATTGGAATAGACACTAATAAAATTCGAACTTCATAATGAATATCGTTTTCTGCCCGGCAAAGTGCCAGGAAAGGGCTGCCAGTTCATCTTTTCCTGGAGTTGGCACACATGCCCAAACAAATTCAATCAACAACAAGCTAGCAAATCTGCTGCCGGTTCAGCAAAGTTCTAAACCCATGGCAAATCATCTTACTGTGTCCAAGCCCAAGAAGAAAGCTTGGAATAGCCCAAAAACGAGAGTGCCACACGTGCGACACGCATATCTCTCTCAACGTCTCTCTACGCCCCGTACGACGTTGGGTCGCCAGGGCTCAGGCAGAAGGGCGTTTGAAAGCCCATCAAAGCGAAGCTGCCACAGCTGATGGGAACGATGAAGCCCATCACAATCTCAAAGGAACCCATGGCCTGACGCATGGCCCTGGGAGAGGCGTCTCGTCCACCCAAAAGACGAAGAACGAAAGGTCCCAGGCAAACTGGTTGATGTCCAGTGAGTAGCAAAGGATGCTCAAGCAGGTGGAAGGGAAGGTCAAAATGGCGAATCTGAACATCTGAAACAAACGGCTGTTTCGAGGATGGCGGTCTTCCAGCCTCTCAAAACTGCGAAGTTAGTGCTTTAAAAGCACTGCAATGCTAGGAGAGAACATCCCTCTATAGACACCTGTTGAAGCGCAAGGTTCATATAAACCTTGAAACACAAAAACTTGCCTAAACTGGACTACAACTAGACAAATGCCAACACATAATATTTAGATATTTTGATACCCATGGCCAATCACAAAAATGTATTTGTTTTTCCTATAACCACTTCCCAACCTTCTGAATCCAACCTACCTGCATCAGGGCAGCCATCTCTTCGCCCGAGATGACACCCTCAAAGAGCTTCCTCAGGCGCTCCCGCGCGCACTCACGCTCCCTCGCTCGTGCAAATGGTCGACGATGAAAGCCATCTGTGGAGATGGGAATTGCATGCCTATCCCAAACACCGCACATGCGGCTCAAGAAACCGGGAAAAAGTTACAGTAACAAATATGTACAAATATTCCCCAGAAGGAAAAACAAGGTCACTTATAAGCACAATCAAGTTCATGTATGGAATATTTACCTATATGCATTGCTACATGTGACAAATTACGGTTTGACATAT